TACAGAAAACGTGTATTTTAGATTACATGATTTCTGCATGAAAACTTTTGAGCAGGTTCATAATTTTTCACGCAGAAAGCTTACTGTTGCTCAAGCGCCTCTAGAGACAGACCCGTTCACTAATGGAATTGTTTACTCGACGTGACGGTAATCGGCTATTTCCATTTTGTGGTTAGGTGTGTTAAGGTGCGATTGTGTGAAGTGTTGTGTGATAAACTATCTCTTTCCCCACTCCCGTCTCCCGATTTTTGTTCTCTATGCTCCTCCTGGTTATTAAATACTTTATAACTTAATAATATTTAATACTACACACAGTCAGAACTCACACACAGAAATACCACCACTGACAGTACTCGGTCGGCGCAATTCATTTGTTTCCCGGTAGACCTCATAGCGGCAATTCACATAAAATTCATATAGAAAACGTTCAGACCGTGTTATCGCGACTTTTGGCTTTTAATCACTACAGCTTCTAGTTTGGGATCTTCATGTTCCTTAAAGTGTATGAGAATCTGTTCGATTACTGTACGGCCTTAACGTTGAATTTTCGGAAACTGCAAACGTTACAAATTACGCGAGAAAATATGTATTGTTGCAGCACCACTAGTTTCCAATGGTCACATGACCTGAACATGTCTATTGAACTGTTTTCTCATCTTTTTTAAAAATATTTTAATACATCATTGAATTCTACATAATACCAAGTCTTCAGTAGCTGAAATTTCTCAAGAATGATGTATCATGATTATCATGATTTTATCACAGATTAATATAACAGTTGCGAAGCTTCCTACGATTTTTTTTCATCCGGTGCGACCGCAGTGCTCCCAGTGAGTGCAAGAGCAGTTCACCGAGGTGCGGCATACGTATTTGCATGCTGTTTACCTGCTTACATGTGATGTGCTTGGTGGTATGTGACAGCATGATGCAATATTGGTGCAGTGAGTTGAATCGAATGGTATATTATTTATGAGAATTATCTGTTCTTAACTCACTTGTCATTGGCAAATTGTGATGACATTTGCATTCTGCAAGCTTTGATGCGCAATTAAAAATGCCATCTACATACGGCAATGGTTGTAGTGCCATAAATTGTTGCAGCAACCAAAAGAATTCGCCAAATTTATCCTTATTTAGGTTTCCTAAAGACCTAGAAAAGTAAAAGTTAACAATTTTTTTCTTGAATGTTATTATTTCAAAGCGAATTTGCAATTCCATATAATAACGTTTTCTGGTTAGCCTTCTATACGGTTTCGTGTATATATTTCAGGAGCAGGAAATGGCTTATTAATTGTAGAAGAGACGATCTTTTTATAAAACACGTGAATTACTTGTATAATAATATAAAGCTATGTTCTCTTCACTTTGAACAGAATAAGTTTGTGAACTCTCATAATAAAAAGCTGACGTGAAATGTTGTTCCAACTGCATTTGATGTGCCGAATAAACCACCTCAGATAACACAAAAAAGAAAACTTCCCTGAAATAATGATCTCAAACTCAACATGAATGAACTTTGCACAGCTGACGATAGTGTTGAGCCTATTCTGGATATATTTGTTTAAAGCAAAGATTTGTCTACAATTTAAGAAGTGGACATGTAGCATAAATGCAAGAAGAAGAAATTTCCAGGCTAAACAAAACAATTGATCATTTACGACGTCAATTTAAATACAAATCGGCAGAAATTATGCATTTGAAGCAAAAGTGCAAGGAACTTCCAAAATGTAAGTGTGTTTGTACTTGCAAGCAGAATATGAGTAAGTTAGTTTGCAAAAAGCTGTAAAAGCTGACAGAGAGAAACTTAAATGTATATATTCAAGATACATGAGCAAGGAAGCAAGTAATGTGCTGGAAAGTAAAATTAGAGAATCCAATTGTAGTGTATTAGGTAATAGATGGAATGATGAAATAAAATTGTTTGCATTAAGAAATTAATATTATAGTCCTGAAGGTTATAGATTTCTATGTCAGTATTTTCAGTAGTCATCAGTGCGAACCCTGCAAAAATATGTAGATGGAATCAGACTTCACTGCGTAATTAATGAAAATGTATTTCAACTTCTAAAATCAAAATGTTTGACTGTGCCAAGATAGTGAATTTTTCTCTTGATGAAATATCAATTATGAGTAACATGACATACGATACTGCTAGGAATTCTATAATTGCTCTTGAAGACTTTGGTTTGAAACGTTCAATAAAAGTGACTAACAGTGTACTTGTGTTTTATGTAATTGGAATATTTAGTAATTTTAATCAGACAGTTGCATCTTTTTCTTGTAATGGAGTGAGAGCTGAAGATCTTCAAGAATTATGCTTTTGTGTTCTTGTAAAACTAAAAGAAATTTGACTGCATGTAAAATCCTGTAATTATGGTCAAATTTCATGAATTGGAGAAACCGTTTGGGTATCACTGAGTTAAAGCCTTACTTGTCTGTTGATGGTGAGAAAATTTTCTTTTTCTACGACAGTTTACATCTGGTAAAAGGGTACGAAATAATTTATAGAAGTATTATATCGTGCACAAACTTGGGAGTGATAATTCCAAAACTGCTTCACGGAATGTAATTTCAAAACTATATGAATCTGAGAGAAAAATATATATTTCAAACTGGCTTCCAAACTCACTAAAAAGTCTATTGAACGTCCAGTATTTTCAAGAATGAAAGTGTGTTCTGAGACTCGAGTATTATACTAAGCCATACTGTTGCTGCAGCTATTTAGGATCTTGTAGTTGTGATGATTTTCCACTTTCAGCTTTAGGCACTGTTGAGTTCTGTCAAAATATGAATGATATTTTTGACAAATTGAATAGTTGCAATTTGAAAGGCTCTGTTAAATTAATAAACCACATCACAGATACATCAGAAAACTTAACATTGCTCAGTAGCTTAAGAGAGTCAATTATATTTTAAAAGTTTATCGCTAAAAATAGACAAAACTGCTCAAATAGAATAAAATGTGTGAGTGATTTAAAATGAATATTGGTGCTCTTGAACTCGTTTACAGTGAACTGATTGTGGATTCTGATAAGTATCTCATGATGAGAAAAATTAACCAAGATGGTTTAGAGAATTTTTTTCTCAGTCATGCATCACAAGGGAGAATTTTGTAATAATCCATCCCATCAGGTTTATGTCTGCTTTGAAGAATGCCACACTTTGCAAACTCTTTAATAGCACAAATAGTGTAAGAGACAATTGTGAAGTTACTAACTAGGGTCACCTGATTTCAGACATAAAGACTGAGAACAAAGTGTTTTATTGCTCTTCAAGCAGCAAAAATAATATGTCTGAGCAACCTGCACTATCCGAAGCCATTGCAGTTTTCCATGTTTGCCGAAAGCTCTGGCAGAAGCAAACTCCATGCAATATACATTGGGGTTCATCGTGAAAAAAGTACTTTCAGAGTATAACTGTACAGTGTGTAAATCAGCCATATCGGATTATGAGAGCCCTTCAAGTGAAAGACTCTACAAATATATACACCAGTTTCAAGAGATTTAATACAGTCAAGGAAGATGGAGGCTTGACTACGTAGTGACAGAGCATACATATTTTTGAAAAAATGTGAAAATGAATTTGAAGCATATTTCCAAGAAAACATTCATAAAATTAAATGTGGAGAAATGTTGGTTAAAAATTGAAGAAAATAATATAATTCCCTATTGAAAGTTGCGAAGGAACAAAATTATTTACGTTAAAGATATTTGTAAAAGATTGCATTATGTAATGAATTTTAATAATGAGAAATTCAAAAAAACGTAGAAATTCCAAAATATCACAATTTAATCATTGTGAATGTGAAAGATTTATTGTCAGTTAGTAAATATCATGTAAATCTTAATTTATGTTATTTTACTACTTATAATTTATTATCATATTCCAATTGTAATTATTTTTGAACTACCATTGTAATTTTGGATGTTCGAACCCATCTCCATCAGTTTTTTCGTGCAGTTTTCCTTGATTCATAGAGTAAATGCTGGGATGAACCCTTGTTTTACTTCTGCATTGTAGATTTTATCCTCCCCACTCTTTGGCAGTAATAAATTTGTATTTTATGATAAACTTGGAATGAGCGTTTTATTATGTATACACCAAAAATGTTCAGATGTTATGCACATGCCTGCGTGCTGTTTTAAAAGTGTTCTAAAACTTTAAGCATTAAAAACTATGAATTACTAGGTAGACCTCTGTTATTTCTTATACATCTTAAAGACAGATGCCTCTTGCTGGCCACCAGGAGCGCTAGGGTCAAATGAATGAATTCCCTTCCCATCAGAGCTTCGCAACTGTTATATTGAACTGTGATTTTATTTCTCAGCATGAACTCCATGTGACATGTAGTTGTCTAGAAATAATTACAAACGTTGTCATTGCCAACAGTAGTATTTATTGCAAAAGCTCTTTTCGATGGCTTAGCCATCATCATCAGTTGTCTGCTGAATTGAAGTATTTGGCCTGGCCCTTCCATTCAGCAGAAAACTGTTGATGATGGCTAAGCCATCGAAAGCTTCTCTTGCAATAAATATTACTGTTGGCAATGACAACGTTTATAACTATTTCATGAAAAATGCCAACGATAACGCACCACAACAGCTATATAGTTGTCTAGAGCCAAGTACAAGAGTTCTTTCATAGAAATGCACAGATATGAAATTGTAAAACAATAAAACCATACTGAGGTATTAAAATTCCCTCTGATAATGAAGTAACAAAGAATATTGTTTCTTAATGATACAAGTCTTCTCGAAAGAAGTTAGGATGGAAGGGAAAACTTTCTAGAAAAAACACCTCAATTACTCCTTGGACACATAATGTTGACAAACTTGACACATTACTTAAACAATTAATTTCAAGCAAAATGAACCTGTTTTTTTTCATTTTCTTTAATTAATTTGAAAGAAATTCACAATGTAATAATACGGGGTAATTGCTTCACGTAGTGTATATCAACAACATAACAATGACTAGTATGTCTCCTAGAGATGGCTAAGCAAAATTCGGAAACCTGGCCCTTTGTGGCCATGAAATCTTAGCGTTATAGAAAAAGCATTCACCATGCTTCAACATGAAACTACGTGACCTGGACCTAGAATGGCTGACTGTTGTAACAGTCGGCATATTTTCGCACGTAAACAACACATGCATTGTGGGGTTCTGCGGCGATCCCGCTATTGCATCCTTCCAGGTTGATCTACCGTTCATCCTCTTCATCTTATCAGTGCTGACTTTTGTAGCTGACCACAATTGGTATCCGACAAGTTTGAAAAAGCCACACAGTTCCATTCTCCTGATTTTGAACGTAAGTCTAGTAATTAATAATTAGATTTATTTCTACTACAATGTTATCAGAGACCAACATTACCAGTTTAGCACTTTCAAGTACAAAATTGAAAAAAGGTCGTGAAGAAACATTAAACAATGCATAAAAATTGATTAAGAAAACCAAGAGTAGAAAAGTCATTAAAATCTCTATTTACTAAAAACTGTTGAAATGTACCATCAGGAAGTAAAAATTACTTTACTGAACTAATGTTAGGAATGGATCGACTGTTCAAATAGGAAACATTGGATAAAACTTAGAATTTTCTCTCCTATCATTTTTATTTTTGGTAATAAGTTTCTTTCTGTTTTGAACAAATTACAAATCAGTATTTTCCAGAACATTTTTCATTTCTGTACCGTAAATCGTGTGTAAACCAGTGGCGGTTTTTGATATATAATTAGTGGGGGTTGCAGTTATGTCCTATAAAACTGACGTTATGAAAAAGAACCCCTAACCAGCTGATGCAGAGATGTAATTACAACGTAAATGTAAATTACAAATCAGGAAGACTTTTTTATAATATCACAAGGGTCATAATTCGTTTCTTAACGTAAAAATTTACCCTTGTTTAAAAGGGTAGATATCTGAAAGTGGTTGAACAACGAGTTATATGCATGAATTATTCATACCTTCACTTAAAATTAATAATTAATTCTCCATTTCTTCTTTACGTCAAGTTTTTAGCAATCGTATTGCGATTAAAAGTTGCTTAAATTAGAATGACTTCGATGCGTAAGTCTGCAGTGAGGCACGCTCTTCTTGATATTTTTTAAGAACACCAGCGGGAAATTTTTAAATGCGGCGACTGAGATTGGATGAGTTTTATGAAATATGTAAAATACACAATGGAAGCTTTACGACAGTGGCATTAGCACTTAAAACGTCAAATGTTACTGTACAATTTTCCTTTCAATCGTACTTGAAAAGCAAATTCATTCTCCAATCTTTACTGTGTGCGAATTTATGAATAATTTTCTGATTGAAATTGGACATCTTCTGATTAAGTTATTTTCCAGAAAATGCTTTTGTTATTTTCAGTGTCGAGAAACAAAACGCAACTTCTAACATTGTCATTGGAATAGTTAACAAACTTATAGCTCCAATCACACAACCAAATTTTTAGTATTGGCAGTTAATAATAATTCTGTTTCAAACTTTTTTAATACAATAAAGAGGTAAATTATGGAAATCGCATGCAGCTTCATAATGGCCATACCAGGGTCACGTTTGGGAAACATTACTGGCTTATGAAACACTGTAGCTGCAGTTAGGTGTCCCCTGAACTTAAATATTTCTCAGATCAAGGAAAGAATTGTCATATATGTGTATGTATTCTCTCTTTGCTTCGTTCTGCATTATCAAATTTATTCTCTTTGAAACATTGGCACACTTATTTGGATTTTTTAAATTTCCTCATTCCATTAACATTTTCAAAAGCATTAATACACTTGCATGATCATCAACTTTCAATGTTCAAATTAAATTAATTTTCCACCTAATACATGTTCAATTACTTGAGTAAACTATACAGTAAATTCATAATATATGTATGCATTTGTCATTTTATGGTCTGATTAATCCGCCATTTTGCCAGCTAGATGTGTTCCCAGGCCTGAAACTTGTTTTTATTATCCACTTCTAGGATAAGGGAGGCATTCGTGAGCACGACGCATTCCCATCACCGTACCTAGCTTACTTGGCCTGCCTGAGCTTTTTCTTTCGTTACACAGCTATAGAAACTGAGACAAAATGAGTGAAAAAGCTACATCTTAATTTTTGCCCCGGTCGGAAATCGAACGGACCCGACCGGGACCGTCTCACAGAAAGCTAGTATGTTATCCATGAGCTACCTGAGGGGCGAATTCATTATTTTCTTTTTCCAGCTTGTCGAATTTAAATAAATATTGCACTTACAACGATGACAATGACGATAGAAAACACAGCAAGAAATACAGTAATGTAGCCACCCTGTTTTATACAACGAGGTTTACATATCCTCAATCCTCGGTCACATTCGACAGCAAGCACATCTTCAACAGCACAGATCGGTTTATCGGTACAATTGCAAACCTCAACGGTAACGGAACAACATGAGGAGAGTTTTTAAGCAAATCGCAGTTCAAACAATTGAAAATGTTATTTAGTAAATAATAATTCACAATCTAGCCATTTAAAATAAATAGTGAATATGTGAATCAATATAAGGAATAAAAGAAGTGGATTTACAAACTTTGCAACCCAGGTAAAAAAACCGTCACTGTTGTAAGCTTTTTGAATCCACAATTTTGTTCACTGATATCGTCTACTTGAACATTAAAAAACATTAAAGCTTATTAGTTTATATCTTACGATATTTACAGAAGTGGCACTTGTCTGTTACAGGTGCTTACTGCCCTCACCATCAGCAATGTAGCACTGAAGGTAATATGGCTGCCGTTGCAAAGCATCCTTACAAGCGCTAGCATATGGATATCAAACTGGGTAAGTATGCAATAGTTCATTCGACATAAGACTAAAACAATATCATGGACAGTGATACCTTTCTCAGAATCGTCGTGGAAGTAGGAGGCAATATACACGTCTTTCACATATTTCACATGACAGTAACTCACATTCAAATAAAAAAGCTATGCAAGGAAATACTATGCAGTTTATTATACTTCGATCATTTGTCTCTTATAATATTGTGTTGAGATGTAATATAATATATTCGTACTTTGTTAATTTTGGTCTCTCACGCCAGGCTCTTGTTCTAGGTTTATGAACAAAACTTGCACCAGGACGGGTCGCGTTCGAACTCCGGCCAATCAGCCTGGCGAGTCTATCTCTCGAATATCCTCGAACAACATGGCGCGCATGCAGTGCCGACACCTGTACGTACTTCCGCTTTCTTTCTTCGTTTCCGTTCATTTTCAAATTTATTTTTACAAACTACGTTACGTTTGCATGTGATTATCGATTCAATTTTCAAAATAACTTTCTCTTTTGAGTAAAATCGAATTAATTGTAGAACTCTTCTGAATCAACCGACGACTTTCACCGAATAACATAAATAAACTTAGCACGATTATAGTCGTTACAGATTACCAGAATAATATTTCGTTTTCAAAATGTTTCACTCGTAAATACAATCTGAATGTCATTTACCACATTACTGTACAGAAAAACTTTTCGTTGACCGACTCATTATAAACGATAACAGAGCGTTTTTTGTTGTATGTGGGTATCCATTAAGTTAGATTTTTTATTGTAGAAGCCCTTAGAAGATATACTGATAGAAACTAATTGAATTTTTTCCAGCATGTTAAGTTGCTGTTTTTTAATCTGATGCATTTCTTAGATGACGCTAGAAATTGCGTGAAAGAAGCATTCGTTTCATATTTGTGAAAGGAATTCGTAGTAATTAATCTATACAAGATCACGCTCCTCACCCCGCCCTCTTCCATAACCTTAGTAACAGAAGTTATTGCTTCTTCCTTCATTCCACCCTGCTCCCTCCTGCCTTGCCCTCTTAACCGGGAAAACAATGCCGCCTAGAAGTAAAACGGGTTGGATGGCATTAAACTAACTTTTATATTTGCTCAATGCTTAAGAAGGGATACGAGACTAGTGTCTAAAAATAAGCAACAAATTAAAATAGTTGAATCTATGCGATTACATTGCACTAGAAAAAAAGCTGTAGAAACGTACGACTGAAAATATTGAAAAACAATGAATATAAAAATTTCATATTTACCAATATCTTGTCACGTATTTACACGGATATTGATTTGGCCTATAACAACAAATCCAGCTGTCGGCCTTACTCTAATGTAGTGACTGAATTTTTTAATGTCATCACTGACATTACAAACAAAAGGTATGAAATGGATGACAATAGTCACAAACAAACGTTTTAACAATCACATAACATAATGTTCTCTGATCAAAACCAATTGCTCTTCCATTTCCCGCGAACGTGCCAAGTTGTGCATCACGCCATCTTCCTGTTTCCATTTTGTCGAGCTACCCAAACAATGCAGTTCCGAACTTTTTATTACTAAAGGAAACCTGCGAACCATTTAATACGTAACCTTCTCTGCTCTTATTTGTTTCTCCCTTTTTTCGTGCCTCACATGTTTAAAACCGTTCACTGGAAGCCGATTAAGAGGGACATCCACATCATTCTCTTTAGAGCTTTAATACATACGGTACCTACGATGCTCGCTCACGGGCAATCGTTTGCTAATAGGTAAACGTGCACGTGCACGTGATTGTCGTGAACGTCTTCCAGACGTTTGGCTAGCACAGGCTATTGTGGAGGCGGCCCGTTCTTGCTGCTGCAGATGCTGCACTTCGCGCCCGAGGAGTCCGACGTGGGCAGCGCGCTGCTGCAGTGGCGGGACGACACGCTGCCCTACGCCGTGAGCGTGCTGCTGTCGGTGGTGATGCTGGGCACGCGCTTCCTGGCGCCGGGCGTCTGGGACCGGCTGCGCCTGCTCTGCCTCAGGTCAGCCCTCGCGCTGGAGGCGCGCGCGGCCTACAGCAAGAGGGGAGGTAGTACCGGTCACTGCAGCACCTCTGACCGGGAGGTTCTAGGGCCCGAGTTCCGACGGTGGCAGGATTATCACACGACACTAGCTACACGGCTAGCACGGCCGGCTGCTCTGATCGGTAACTACCGATATTAGTTTCGGTAACTACCTGTTCCGCCGGCCGGTAACCTACACTAGTTTTTCATGGTTTCTCCGGTTAATACCGACTGAATGCAGTTATATTTACATACACTAAACCTGGTAGTGGGAGGAATCTTGTTGAGGCAAACCCTTCAGACCAACGGGTAGGCCGGCGCCGTATACCACCTACCATTGAGAGAAGATAACCGCCACCTCCCGTTGAAACATGTACTACGCTTAGCCGTTGACGCGACCGGAGCCAATCAATCAACCAAGAGGGGAGATCCGCTACTCTTTCGCTCCCCTTTTCCATTGAGCATTTTATACGACATATTTCCTAGTAAATGTATGAACGATAAAATTAAAAATGAAAGTATGACTTTTAACTATACAATAATCAATAAATACAATAATCAACTATCAATAGATTTTATGGTGTCATTTTATGGTATCAAATTGTCAGGTTAAAAAAAAGAAAAAAATCAGAGATTGAATTCATGAAAAAATTAAAAGTTTTACTACGTAAGGCTACGGGGCACCTTTCATTTTTTTCTGGGGTACCACGGCCTCCAGTCCGCCCTGTCCGGCTACGGATATTGAATGGGTGTTTCAGTTTCAGACAAATAATACATATTGATTTGGAACAAATCCTGAGAAGGACCCTTGCAGCATTCGATTAAACAAGGGCCGTGCGAACGAGAAAGGATAAGACTGCAACTTTTGAAAACGCGAAAAGGGCGCCCCCAGTTCGTCTGCTTGGAGTATCCCTGAATAGCTGACGTAACACGGCATTGACGGTATATTTATTTACCATAGTCATCAAGTACACACTAAAATGAATTAATGGAATCGATAGAGTAAAATGTAAATAATTATGGTTGCGTAGGTTTCCGCGGCTGGAGTTTGTGTTCTCTAGGCAATCCAGGACGAGCCGCTGCCCCTCCCTTAAATGCACTGAGCTTGCCAAAAAAGGCCTATTTTATCCCCTCCAAACAATGAAAAACAAAGCTTTAGAAGCTAACTTTTCAAAAATCCTTTCTTAGTAGTTACGAAGAAAATATTTTCCAAATTTATCGTTTCTGGTAGCTTCAGTAGTTTAATATCTGGGTTGTCATGAGAGTGTGTTTCTTTCAGTTTATATTACTACACATATTTTAGAATGAATGTTGCAAAAGTCTTAAGATAATGAATGCGTAGTTAGGGTGTGGTGAGCGTGTAGTGGGACGAAAATAAAGTACATATGTGAATTTGCCCGTTTGATTAGCCACTCATTATGCACTGCTTTTCGGCAGGTAGGCGAAATCTCTCTGAACAGAACGTGACCCGCGAAACACCACTGCATAATGAGATGCCTACCAATCAGGGGTAAATTCACACACGTAATTTCTTTTTATGAAATTTTCCACCAGTTTATTAGCAAACTATTATCTATCATCTTCGACCTCCTAAGCGTTCTAAAAGTTTGTTGTTTTGTAAATTTTTTCTAAGACCCAGTAGATGTAATATCGGTTTTAGGACACTATGTTCTTGATACAGAGGTCTCAAACCAAATGTTACAAACTTGTAGGGCATGGACAAAGGTCAAAAATAATTAATTTATGCACATGTGTTCGGCGGGTCATGTTCTGACTCAGACGAGGAGATTTTATGTACCTGTACCGAATAGGTGGCTCAGAGCATCAATTGGTCACTGGAGTGCCCCTAATCAGGAGGTCTTCGGGTTCGAGTCTCAAAGGATTTTCGACACTAGCTAGGTAGCTAGATCGCATCCAGCAGGTGCCTGGAGAATTCTAGAAGTTGGCTGTTCTTGCCGGACGTTTCTAGTGTTGTTTCTTTTTTTTCGATCACGAATGCCGAAACGGAACAGTAACAAAGGGGTAATGGACCGTGCGCGACCTTTCATTCCTCTTCCTTGACCTATTCTCACCCATTTCTTAAACACACTTACACTTAGACTTTCACACACTACTCTACCACACATGCCGCGTGGCCAGTCGGGAGCTTAGAGCTTGAGGGGTGGTGCCTACCCAGCGGAGGAAGAACACCGCCACCGTCCGCAATAAAAAGCGTGCACTACACTTACGTGACTAATGACTTTAGCAGTTGTCGTCCATCAATAACGCAGCTGTCTAACATGTCCACCCGGGGTTGCGTACCAACCGCGCGCGACGCCGTGTGCCCCCAGCGCACAGGGGTCGCTGCGTCGGCGGCGCGGCCGCATCCTGCTGCTGCCCGGAGGCAGCCTGGCGCGCCTGCGCTCGCTGGCGCCGCGCTACGTGCTCAGCAAGGTGGACGACTCGGACGACGAGGCCGACGGCCGCTCCGTCGACTCGCCCGACTACTCGTCCGTGGGCGCGTGCTCGCCGCCCCGCCCCGCGCACCAGGAGACGCACCACGGCGCCAGAGCTTCCCGCACCCGCACCCGCACCCGCCCACGCACGCACGCCCCCGCGCCGCCGCCCCAGCCCCGCCTGCGCCCGCCGTCCCATGGCTGCGCTCACATCTCCAAGACGGCCGGCGCCTACGGGGTGCCCACCATCTCGTCTGTCTCCACCGTCGTGCTTTGAGCGCCCACCCAAGCACCTGCGGCGCGTTAAAGAGGATCGTAGCAGTGGCGACTCGTTCGCAGAAAGAACTTCTTATAAAATCTAAAAACTTCAAGAATTGCTCCTCTAAAATTCCCAAGTGAATAACAAAAATTTTCGATGGCAGTGTGCAATAAATTTTTTGATATAATTTCTTAAAAGAAAATCGTTTTAGAGTATTCTTGAAAAACTAAGATGTACAATAAAGATGGTCGTGGTCGTACGTTTGTGATTATTTTCGGCAACTGCACACTTAGCTCTATTCGAGCAAAACTTATTTTGAAAACTGATGCAAGGTTTAAAGCAATGTTTGAAAATACTTCAAGTGTACTGTAAGGCCTTCATGTAAAGCTCCTCCAACATTAAAATATCATTTCCAAATTCGAGGCGCCTCGTCATCATCTAGATCGATTGGAGAATATTTATTTTGGTGAAAATCGTATGTACGGAATACGCGCTAGTGTTCCCAGATGGGGGGGACGAACAAACGTTTTGAGGAGAATCCACTTTTCCAGTTTCAAGGTCTCTCAAAACTCATATTCTGACTTTACGAGATAAGAGGCCGAAGAGAAATATAAATAATAGTGTATTATTACTAAACAAAATGAAATTATATTTACATTACACTAAACAAAGTAATGTACACGATTTTCTTCAAATCTTTCATAATACGTAAATTTACAGCCACATTAATATTACACAGGAAAATGTGATCAATTATCTTTAATCACCAACGTAATATTTTATTGTTAGCCCCCTTTTTAATACTTCATTCAGTCTTTCCGCATTGATGTTACTAATTATTGGGTATAATTGATTCCAATTTTCCACTATCCTTCTTGTAATCATTTTTCTAATTGCTTTTTTTTTGATCGTATGTTGTGTTTGGGAATCCTATTTCCTGATTGGTGCCAAAGATTATCAATAGGATTTAAGTATAGAGATTGGGATGGCGTATAGAGTACCTTCAGACACTTAGTGAAACTATTCTTTCATAACCGGGGCCTGATGTATATGGTCGTTGTCTAGATAATATTGAAAACAATTACTAATTCACAGTTTTTTCTGCTTTTCTTTTCAAATTGTTCATGAGAATATACGGATACTGCATTTCGTACATGATAGAATGTTCTATATTATTATATGTCCACATATGATTATAATCATAATCGATGGTTCATTTACATATCTTATCAAATATAACAAAATAATTTATCGCAAATATTTCTTATATCACATCAGAATATCATTTATCACTATTTATATACTATTTTATTTATTTATATGCTATCTATATACTATTTAGAACTCAATTTTGTCCAAGTTATTTTTAAACGCACTCAGAGTTTTCTTTTCGATGCATTCCGCTGGTAGTTTATTCCACGCGTTGATTATTCTATTGGTGATAAAATGTGCTCTTTGTCCAGTTTTTGTTTTCTCTTTCCTCAATTTCATCTTGTGTCCTCGTAGTATATCATCAGTAGATTTTTTAAAGATGGATTCTTGTGGGATTTTGTGTAGTCCATTCATTCAAAATTTTATATGTATATTTATATCGGTTCTAGTTCTTCTCTGTTCGAGTGACAATAAGGACATCTTGTGACATCTTTCCTGGTAATGGAATCTAGGCGATTTTCTCTTGGTATATTAGTTACTCGTTTTTGTATTTTTTCCAGACAGTATATGTCTTTTTTATAATATGGGTACCAAACTACATTAGCATACTCCAATATGGGTCGAACATGTCGTGTAAATTTTTCCAACTGTGGGGCTGTGTAATTTGGAGGATGCCTTTCTCATCATATCCAGAGCACTCTTTGCTTGCCTGGCCAGCGCTGCAACTTGACATTCCCATTTCATATCATGAGAAATGAGTACGCCCAGATCGTTTTGTAGCATTGTAATGTCCAAAGTGTGATCTGCAATAGTGCAGAGTAGTCTAGGATTTTTCTTACCAATATGGAGGATTTTGCATTTTTTAGAATTCAGCGGAAGAAGCCACGCCTTTGACCAGTTTTCCATTGTGATCAAGTCCTTCTGTAGGGTTTGATAATCAGTGAATGGGTTTGCAAACAGTTTCGTATCATCTGCCGAACAGTTCCATTTTGATACAACCTCATTTCCAAGGTCACTAGTATATAAGATGAACAGTAGCCGTCCCAGAATTCGCGCTGGTGTGAAGTAAAGTTTCTGAAGAGCTAAAGCGAAGCTGTCAATGAATTTGACAGCTTCAGGGCCGCCATAGACACCCAGCAGGGGAAGAAAATAGTGTCTCCAGTCGGATAAAGGACTGGAAAACAAGAACCGAGAGTTCCACGAACTACTGAAGAGGCGCGGCATCTCACGAAGGTTAACGGCGCCGTACAATCTGGAGCAGAACGATGTAGCCGAAAGGAAAAAAAGGCGCTGATGGACTCTGCATGGTGTTTGTTGATCCAATCAGGGCTGCCCCCTCTCTCTGGGTTGAGGCGGTAAACACGGCAAATTTCATTCGCAACCGATCCCCTCGCGTAAACTAAACGGGAGGACACCCTATGAACTCTGGTTCGGAAGAGCACCAGATGTAACAGACTTCAAGCGATTTGGCTGTGAAGTCTTCATCATGGACAGGTCACCCGGAAGAGATAAGCTCGAGCCGCGCTCCAGAAAGGGCTTCTTTCTCCAGAAAGGCCTACGGTGAGGACTTCCGACCGGAGGAGCACCATGCTGAAAATGTCCCAGGGGTGCTGGGAAGGGGTGAGGTGAAGGCCGATCCACGTTCTTTCATAGAGTTGAACCTCTGCCGGGATCCACCTGCATGCCCGGGTCGGAACAGCAGATATAGGGAGGCAGTAGAGGAAGAGTTGGACGGCGAGGATTTCCGAGGTTTCGCGCCAGGATCAGACGGCGAAGATTTTCGCGGATTCGCGCCTGTGGTCAGGCGGCTACCCGGAAGACCTCGCAAGATCTACACAGGACAGCCAGGAAGACCTCGCTTGGCCCATCCGGAGGGCGGGCGTGAAGGCCAGAGTGTAGAAGAGCGGGCTGAGATTGCGAACTTAACCGAAGTCTCAGTCAGGCAAGCTCTTTCTGGTGAGGACTCTCAGGAATGGTTAGAGGCTATGGGGAGGGAGGTAATGTCCATACTAGAGAAGAAAACCTGGGATATTGTGCCAAGACCGGAAAACAGGGGTGTGATAGGGAGCAGATTCGTTGTGAGGAAAAAGTATGGAAGGAATGGAGTGTTAGATATGCGAAAGGCAAGGTTTGTGGCGAAAGGGTATTTCCAACGGTATGGAAAGGATTATCACGAGACCTACGGTCGATGAGGTCGCTCGGCTGGAGTCCATTCGTCTGACGATCGCCCTAGCGGCACGAAGTGGCATGCAAATCCGACAATTTGATGTGGCCTCTGCGTACCTCAATGGGACTTAAGACGAGGATGTGCTCATGGAGATCCCCAACGAAATGAACTATGCTCTTGAATACATTGTCGCCAATGAGAATCAGAATCCCCTGGTTAATGAGGCCAAGTCACTACTGAGGGAGCTGTCAACTGGCGGGAAGGTTTGTCAAATGAAGAAGGCCCTATACGGCTTGAAACAGGCCGGACGGGCTTGGCACAAGCGACTCGACAATGAGCTAAGGAACCTGGGAGCACCTCCTTCCACACGAGACATGTGTGTGTACCTTAAGGATGTTGGTGACGACACAATGTTCATCGTGATTTATGTTGATGTGTCGAAAGAAGATAGATACTTTCGGAAGTGATCTGGGAAGACTCTTCTGGGGAAACTGGAGCGCTGCTAGGGGATAGACTTCAAAGTGAGTGAAAGGTCCATCTTAATGAATCAGAGGACGTATATAGAAGACATCTTGCGTCGATTCAAGATGTGTTTCATCCTGTTTCCACGCCCATTGCACCTGACTCAAACCTCTCCAAGGCTGATGTGTGGGGAGACTCTGACAGCGACAGGCCGCCATATCGTGAGCTTGTAGGGCGTCTCATATTTGTCAGTGGCAACACGCCTAGAGATGCTCCCGCCGTGAGTATGCTTGCCCAGTGCGACTCATTCGGGAAGTCCCACTGACAAGAAGCCAAGAGGGTAATGCCTTACCTAAAAGGCACCGTGGACTTGGGAGTCAGATATCAGGTAGGGGACTCTCCCGTTATGGGATATGTGGATGCCGACTACGCTGGATCGCTAGATGACAGACGGTCATTCGCCGTATATGTGTTCACCATGAGCGGTGGACCTGTAACATGGGACTCAAGAAAGCAACGGGCAGTTGCGATTTCGACCACAGAGGCTGAGTACATGGCCTTGAGCGAGGCTGACAAGGAGGCCACACACCTTCGAAGCTTCCTGGCTGAATTAGGAGGTCGAGCTCAAGGCGCTGACCCTATACAACGACAACTTCAGCGCTCAGAGACTGGCGACAAATCCGGTCTTTCATTCTCGAACAAAGCACATAGATGTTCGCCATCACTTTGTTCGAAAAGTCGTGGAGTCAGGACTACTTAATGTGGAGCATCTGGCATCGGTGGACATGTCAGCCGACATCTTCACCAAGGCCTTGACCAGGTCGAAGCATGAGAAGTGCGGGGACTGGTGAATGTCAAGTGCAGTGTGGAGGATTGTCTCGAGGGAAAGTGTTGAAGTTATCGACAGGGCGATACAATCCCATCAGGAGAGTGCCTATCGATATGCCGAGCAATCGGCTGACGGTCCTGTGTTCTCTTTGACTAGAGCAGTAGTGTGTCTGTGACCGTCGAGGAGAGCGCGTGTGGCTTAGTGTGTGCTAACAGTGTGTTGTGTGTCGCGAGTTGTAATCCGCCTGTAAACAGGGAAGGATCTGTGTGTCGACAGACTGGGGTGCGAGCTTTCCATAATTCCAACAAGATCTACTTCTAGTTGATATATTATATCACTAAGACTTTTAGTGCAGTTTTGTAATTCTTGTTTAAAAATTTTAATTATCTCGTCGTTGTCAGACATTCTCGGTTCAGACTTGCAGCATATAAAGTCCTTTGAATTTGAGTTTATCTTAACTCTGTCTCCACAACTGGGGTGATATGACTTGCAACAATTCGTGCAGTAGACTATGATTTTGATAACGGGCTTTCTACAATAATGACGGTAGTATTTTCTTGCATATGTCTCACACTATTAGACAATAAACTCTATATCAATCTTCAATACATAACGCACAACGCGTTGTCATCACTAGAACGGCCAATTTCACAGTGGAAAGATGGTTCCGCCTCCAGAGGCGTACTTCCGTTTGTAAGCCATTATTTATTTTTTTGTCATAATCTTTATTTTTTTCAGTTTCCTAACAGCAGAATCGAGATGCTACTTCAAGAACATTAAAGAAGAGAAAAAATCTCGTCATAAATACCAATTTGCATTGAAAAATTGGGAACGGTTTTTAAAAATATTGCGTTTAAGCCATACTGTAAATGCGAAATTTGAAGCTCTTTTCATAGGAATCTTCTGAGCTTTTGAAAAACTTTATTAAAAGTCTTTTGAAGCACTTTAATTCACAAATGCAATAGTTTTTAAAAATCGCTGAAAATGGTCTTATTAATTGCGAGAGATATTTTTTTTAAATTGTTTTTGAAAAAAACAAAAGAATGCCCAAAAATGAACTTTGTGTCATTTCAAGCAGTGCAATTAGCACTGCCCTTTGAAAACATTTGAAGAAAAAATGTTGAGCCGTTTTTGTGAAAATAGCATTTAGATCATTTCTGAAAATGAAGAATTTAGACCTCAGTTTAACAGAAAACTGTTGAGTTTTCGAGAAACTTAGTCATTTTTTAAAGCATATTTCCTCAAAAATACAACAATGTGAACAAATTGCCGCTAATGTTGTGAGAGACCAACAAATACCCATAAATACAACAATGTGCGAGACCAGACAAAAAAATTAATTTTTGAAAAAATAAAGGAATAGGGCAATATGTCATTTATATCATGTAGAGAGCATATTGCACAACTACAAGAAGTATGTGTTGCAATCTATCTTGTGAAAGACTACCAAATGAAGAGTGGTAAAATGCAAATTTGCAAACTTAAAAGACGCTACCTACTCATATTTTTATAAAATTGTACTAAATGACCTTTCTTGAAGAACTGATTTTTTAGAACAATTTCACTTAACAAAAAAATCTCAATTATCAATATTGAACTTTTGCAATGTAATTTTTTTGTTTGTAATTCTCAAAAATTTAGAGTTGGCACAACATGGAACCAGCACCACTTTCTTTGCTCTTCTTTGCCTCATAGAAGAAAAAATTGAAAGAAAAAACTTGAAGTAATTTTTTGGGAAAATAATTGTTTAAAAATTTTCTACATTTCAAGTAAAATTATGTGAAAATTACTCATATTTTCGAAAAATTATACATGATCTTATTTCAATATGGATTCTGATTACACAACACGTTGGAAGAAGTAACTTACTATATACATTTGATTTATCAACTTTTTCATTACCAGGTCCTATCAATAAGAGATGTAGAGACATTAAGAGATTTTCTGGCGAATAATCACTGTTTTCCCCCACAGCATTACAATACATTCTCTATACTGCACAAGCAATATAGATAAGGTAATGCGCTTTAGAGGGGTGCACTGTATATTTCACGGAGAATAGAAAAATAAAGGAGGCATACAAATAATTTCACACTAATCGCCTTGGTAACACCCACGTGTATTCAGAAAGCACATACATATTTCATTAAGTGAAATTATTGAAATATATAGAATATAAGAAATACTTAAATTTTAGACAATAAAGGTTAAGAAGCACTCTCCACAATTTCTCCTGAAATGAAGATAGAAAGACAAGATGAAACTTTCTGCTGTAAAAACAGTATCTCTAAAACATGTAACATTTATATAATGACTGTCTACAAGAGTAATAAACAAAATAAATGCTTTAATTATCACAATGAAATAACTGACTAAACAGTGTCATGTTACCCAAGTTCAAAATAATCATACAGTCCACACAATTAAAATAAAGACATTAAACATGTAATGAAAATTTAGAATTAATCCAAAGAACTTGGAAACAGACAATAATCTGATTCACTTAAATCCATAATTCTGCTTCAGCAGCAAATAATTTATCAAAAATAAATATAAAACTTGTGCTATTAACATTTCATATACTTTGCATATACACAACAATGCTTCATATACATAATCTTCAGAAAAGCTAAAAACTAAAAACCAAACCACAGAAAATTATTTAAAGTCATTAAAAAAAATAGCAACAGAATAAAATTTAATATATAATACCCTTTAAATGGAGAAAGTCATGTCAGCTGCACTCATTTCACAGTTCAAGAAAATTAAAGACTACAAAAGGCAAACAACAGAGAACTACCACAACCCAGTCTCTATATACAGTACACATTACATTTTTTTAAAAACAGAAACTAGTATCTAGCTGATTTCCACATTAAAGGAAGGTCAAAATATGTTGTGCTTTGTGTACAAATTGTACTTAACAGGAAAATATTACACTACAGTCATAAGATACATTGTGATGTTTTTATCACATGACATAATACTGAAGACAGACAATGAGAATTACTCAGGTATCAGTCAGTTGGACAGTAACAATCATTTATACATCTTCCAGAGGAAATGCATTTGCACCATTCAGAACACATCAAGCCCCCTGGCAAAATCATCTCCCAAACCCAGTTCACTATGAACACTATTTACATGTACACATATACATATACAAAAATAGCCCCAAATTATATAATTACACAAATGTGCATTTATATCCAAAATGGTAACTACATAAAATTCTTATACCAATATAAACTTAAAACATTGAAATAATTTTTATTAAAATTAATTTCTCTATTAGAGATTCTGAAATTCATTTGGATATCATGCACCTTCATGGATACACACTATCTGTACACTTCAATATACAATTAAATCGCCAGGGGGAGTTCACTTTACACAATTTTAAACATGACATTCTAAAATAAAGTCTTTCAACACATCGATGATAAGAACCCTCACAATCAATACGGGCACAAAACATTGAGACATTTAAAATAAATTGGCACAATATTTTATTTTACATGTACCATTCAATGTGCAAATAAAAATACATACCATCAGAAAAGCCAATACAAGTGCATTGCTTCATTCTATTGCAAGTTTTTGAGCAAGGACTTTTCATGTGCATTTGAAAACTATGGAATGTATACTGAAGGAATGTCATGTAAGACTTTCAATGTAATGAATGAGTATTGTGTACCTTGTCTATGCATGCAGAGACAATATTTGGGCAGGAATGTGTACAATTAAAAATCAGAAATATGAGATTAAAATAATTAAATAATGTCATAACAGAACAATAATAATAAATTTAAGGTACAAATTACCACACTTTTATATCATTCATTTAAACTTCTTTTAATCACCATTGTAACTTAAAATCTCATGGGCAAGCTACTACTTAAAGGCACAAATTCAAAGATGAAACACAACTGCAATGCATAAGACGACAAATAGTAAGTTACATAGAAATCCGTTCAGAATCATATATCCCACATTAAAAATAATATGTAAAAAAGGTGTGCATGAAGATGTTTTAACTTAAGAATTTGTATTCTCCAGGGGAATTTAAAAGCAAATAAAACAGATTTGGCAATACTAATCACAAATTGCAATGATCAAAAACCAGACACAGTCTTCTCAACAACAATGAGCCCAACACTTTAGGAACAAAGAACATCTTCCCTAAAATCTCACCAAACTGGCTGACTCATCATGTTAATAATATTTCAAAAATAATTGCCATTATTTTTCTTTTAACATGTGGGCAAAATTTCAGCTATGATATGTTAAAAAGCATAACTACTAATATACTCTAAAAAGTCTTATAACAGACTTGTTTCAATATCAGCATAACTTACATGGGCAGCAGTATTTCTCACCCAACAATAAAGATGTAAGTTCTGGGACATTCTGAATTCTGGAATAAATGTATGCTTAATTAACACAAACATACCATTCCAAAACTTCACTTTCTCTTACACTATAGTATCTCAAAATACAAAGGCCTTACTCAATTTGCAAGTCTTCAATAAATAGAAAAAATTGGTTGAGAAATGCTGCCAAAGAAGATATGTATTGAAGCAGCCAATTTTCAAACCTAGTTAAAATTAATTAATTCACAATCAAATATTTTAAATAGATTTATATAAAAATAATGAAAACCAGTGGTTGAGATTGTAGAAGTGGATGGTCTGCAACGTCTGGCACACTATGATGGGGCATGGCTACTCCTTCGACGAAGAAACGCCCTGCTATTAGGATACACTCTTGCTAGCAGTATTAGGGAAGATGCAAGAGCTAGATGAACAGGAGCTTCACTCCCACCAGGAAGCCTGACAAACACTGTTCCAACAGCTGCCACACCGTCATCAGTTGGCTCCACTGCAACAGGTCGGATTTCCCCCACACTCTGGACATGTTTGCGTTGTTTCTTGCGATGAGGTGACTGAGATGAAGATGCTGGTAGGAACATCAGAGCATCATCGTTTTCACTTGGAGGATCAAGCAACAAGGTGACAGTAGCAAAAGGACGCTTTGCCATATGCAACATTTCTACAACATGTCGTCTTCTTGCCCTTCTAACATCAGCAGCCTGCTTGGCCTTCCATGCTACCACACAAGCAGCCAAGAACAAAAAGAAACATGAAAAGAAAACTGAAAAGAACACAAACAAATCAATATGTAACTGATCTTGACGGAAGAAAATCATTCCATAACTTGGAAAATGAGAATTTTCATCATTTGAAATCCCTGTTGCGGTAAGAGCAATAAAAAATTTAGTTGCACCAAGATCGTGTTTGTCCTGAGGTATTGTCAACACTAGCCTGTCTTGAAGATTTCGAACAATAACAAACATATTCTTATCATGAACAGACACAAACGTAGTTAAAGGATGAGCTTGAGTTTCACGCATCACATATGTCTGCCGATAATAGTGATCTGTTACAGATGTACCGTTTACAGATGAATAGTCAGAATCGGAAGAAACCAACTCCAGAACACTTAAATTCACGCGGTATTCTCCTTCATAAGTGGTGGTAGCTGTGGAACGTCTTTGGTATCTGCGATCAACCTCCACCTAAAAGCAAAGAGCCAATTAGTGAAAAAATACTGGCAGCTAGAAAAAAAGAGGTAGTCAACTGAACATGCAGGCATAAAAAAAGAATTCAAACACAGAATATTATTCTCTTTCTAAAAATATATACCATGTGGGCTCCTGTTGACGCATTTGTTGTCACCACAAATGTGTCTTCCAGAGGACTCAGGAAAAGATCCAATGAACCTTGAGTCACATCAACAATAACACGAATATCCACATTCATAAATCTTGGTTGTATTACAAAAAAAACAGACTGTCCTGGATATAGTGGTTTAGGTTTAATTTTGCATTCCTCTGTTGAAGGAAATAAAAATATATTAAATAATTTCCAGGGATTATATAAAGCAAACCATAGTATATACCTACCTAATTGTTTGGCATCAAAACAGAACTTAGAATCCACTATCATCTGGCGATAACATTGATGACCATTTGTGGGAGTCCCCATGTACGAATCTTTACATTTGGAACACTGATGCATCCAACACTGGGACAAACCTTTATTATTATGACTATTACAAGAGGGATCACTTTCTGTGTTATTCTTACAATCACAACCTTCTCCAGTGTCAGGATCACATGTATCACCATGTCCATGACATTCACATCTAGAAAAAGATGCAACACATATTATGTCATATCTCACAGTATGACATTAGAATTGTAAAATTCCAAAAGTTAACAAAACTTACGGACGACATGGGGTTCGCTTATCCTGATTAATTCTAAAATGTCCAAGAATGCAACCCTCACATCTGTCTCCACTAGTCAAGTTTCCACAAGATAAACAACGAGCTCGGCTTGTAGGTCCTTCTAGTTGAAAAGCATTTTTTGAAATTTCTGCTGATGTCTGAAACATACGATACACAAGATAAACAAATTAAAGAAAAATGTAAAAAGTAAAGAAACAAGTGGTGCTGTAACTTCTTTGCACAGTTTCTCATTGGATGTATAATAGTCTTGTAAAATTGATGATTATTTTTATTTTAATGAAATGTGTTCATCAAAAACAGATTTTCAAATAATATGAGTATTCTCCAAATAATATGATGTCAAACAGAGTCGTTTGCTCAGAATTTACTGCGCTTTGTGAACATAAAATGGTGTTCCCAGGCAGTTGGATGCTTTGCAAGTTAGAATTTGTACATTACTTCATATTTATTTGTTCGTTTCTTACATTTGAGATACTGTTATGTTTTAAAATAAATCTTTTAGAAATTATATAAAACCTACTTAAAATTGCGTCCTTTAATGAAGTTAAATGTGATAATGAATACATGATTTCACTTTGGTTAATAACATGTGGAAATAACAATAAATCAATTAATTTTGATGAATATAAAAATATTACATTTATTTATAACATTTTTCTACCCATTTCATTTTCTTGGTAGCGGTATCAACAATCTTAACTGGCAAAATGTGTATTGCATATGATTTCACGGTCATTCCTAGTTGCAACACGTTGTAACACCACACTGATAACAGAAGGTGATAATGACTGTTACCTTTCATTTGTGTTAATATAAACTAATAATTTTATTTACAGCTAAAATAAGCATCGTGCAATGTTGATACATTTATGTAGAATGTGAATATTAAAGTACTAGTTTTCGTTTGTTACCAGGCAAAACAGGCAAAATCACCTAAAAAGGAATAAATATTCATTCCTATTACTCAAACTCACTCACCTTTAATATTCAATTCTCTCACCTCTTTTAAAATAATAATTAAAAAGTAATTGTTTGAACTGTATTTTCCCCTAAAAAATTTTACTCCTCTCTCCCCATGGACAAAAGTTCTCTGTTCAAACACTCACAATTATGGCTTATGTAGTAATAATTAACTTTCAGATTACTAAAAGAATATGAGCATGACAAGCTAACTACGCAACACAGCTGCAAAACTACTGGAGTAAAGAAATAAATGCTTACCGGAGATATACTGTCATTCACACAAATTGATGTATGACCATGACAATATTCAATACATGGTACACATTCTTCTCCATTAGAAGGATCTCCAACAAACATAGGTTTACATCTTTCACATCGGGGCCCCTAGATAAAGGCAACAATTTAAAAAAATTTCATACACTTCGCCAATGCTCCCTTTTACAAACACTTAATTCATAAGTAAAGCAGTTACAAATAAAAGGTTTTATTTTTAATACATGTTCTTCAGCTGAAATATTTAATGAATATAATTTATCAACAGATGTGCAAAATTAATGAGGGTCAATAAAGACTATAGACTGAAAGTCCTTCATAGCAACATATCATCATTGCACCTGCAAAAACGGCCATGTTATATGAATTTAGTAAGGGAAAACAAACCTTGAGGTTCAAGCTCGTTTCATTGAAGTTTAGGAAATGTGCAGTTCCTTTAGGTTTATTTTCCCTTATTAAATTCACTTCACATTGATGTTTTTGCAGGCGCAACAACAATATATACCTTCAAACCAGATATAATATGGTAGGTTATACCATACATACGTACTTCGAGAAGACAAATCAAATTGCAGGGCAATTAAAACAAATTAAATCATTGCACTACACAAAGTAATCATTACTGAATATGAGAAATGTGAAATAAGAAAATAGATGAATAGCCTGGTACCTAGTGCAAAGCAACTATATTTCATTATACCCATATATTGGTTGTTTTTACAGTTTCTCTGCAATTCTAAAATTTCTTTTAAACTTTCCTTTCCCCATTCCCTCCCACACTTTTCCCTAAAAAAAATTATGTTTTGACTGTTCAAAAACCTGACTGCCCCAGCTGGGAATCTACCACACATCTTCCGATGTATGCCCATTTGCTCTAACCACTTGAGCCACCGAGACAGACAATTCTTTGAACAGCCTTAAGGAGATAAGAGCCCGATAAATAATATATTACTATACAGTTCACCACCTCGCCACAGTTTAGCAATACAAATAGTACGAGAAATACAATACAAACAGTTGGGAGTTTAACAAAAATGTAGTAAAAGCTGTAGCCTAGCATGTTCAGAACATTCCCTACAGTAACCATACAGCATAGTCCATTTTTTCCTGTATATTCAGTTTTTACAGTTGTAACACAAACTCACAGATTTAAAAAAAAATCATTCTTTGTACTTTCTCTTATATGTTTTATTTTCAGTTGTTTTTAATAGACAGATTTATCAGCTTTTACAAAAGTTAGTACAAAAGCACATACCTGGGTGTTGTTTTGACAGCTTAAACAGACTGTCAATTTATCAGGACCTTCACAATCTGAATGTCCATTGCATTGGCACTGAATACTGCAGTTTGCACCGACATAGCCAAAATCACATTTGCACATGTCTGGTTCTATACAAATACCACGCACACACCCCTGACTGCACACAGGCACACACATTCCCCTAAAAAATAGAGTTCAAATTAGGAGCAGTCCTTTTTTTCATTTTATATAAGGATGTTATAGAAAAGTTGCACAATTGCAAAGGAAATCAACACAACAGTTTTCTTCAATGAACCCTGAGTCTAAGAAGCTGATGCTCAGCCTTGTTCCCTGCAAGGGAAACAAAGCTTACACCTGAGTCACATGGGAGGCCACTATTTTACACTGAGAAGGGCAAGACCATGAAAGTGCATCACAATTTAGGAGAGTGGCACAAAAATGCTGGAAAATTACTCATGTATTCAATATAGCACTTTCCTATTTTTAATAAGAATAATTGAATAATTGAGCCTTGAATTGAATTTAGTGCAAGAATAAAATAATGCTTAATTTCCCAATGTCTCGCTTCCTAAAAAGTGACACACTTTGTGACTCCTACAACTATGTTAATGTGTGTACATTTTACCTTACCCATCACAGCTACATATATAAAAGCTCGGCTTTATAAATACATGCATACAGCTAAGTTAAGTATGTGTTTTCTTCCCCTCTGAACTTTTCACGCTATTGACTTCCGAACAAAGGAATGATTTTTTAAAAATTATTATCATCAATTTTAACAATTATTGTTGTTATAACGACTACTCTGATTATTAATATCATTATCATTATCATCATCATCATCATCATCATTATTATTGTTGTTATTATTATTATTATTATTATTATTATTATTATTATTATTATTATTATTATTATTACTAAAACAATCAGCTTAATTGCAGGGAAGAAAGTGAAGTTATAACAAAATTAGTATAACATTTCAATTTTTTTCATCTAACATACATTTTATGGTATGCAAATCCTCCTCAAAACAGTTTATTATTGTAAAAATAGTTGATTTGTTTTTTTCTGCATAAGAAAAATTAAAAAATCCTACACAACATTCAAACTGACATGATTTACTACTCTCGCTACAACCTTGTAACAGCATGAAGCAGATAATCCCCATTATCTTAATATAATACACCAGTAAGGATCATCAATCCTGGGTACACTGTTCGCAGAAGACATTTTGCCAATCTCAATTTTTATCTAGTAATATGTATTTGCATTAGCAAGGCAGGGACAGCACATAAGACCTCTCTTATCAATACCCCTCCCAAGTGCTAGGCAATGTTTTGGTGCTACTGTATTAAATACTTTACAATCTTCTATATTTAAAAAGAAGATTAATTTTTTTATAACTATTAACATACCTTTGAAATCTTATGACTGTTACCACTGCAGGGGGCAATAGTTAAAAATTGAGGCAGAACGTAGCAGAACCGAGATTTTGAATTTGGATGACACAGTAATAACATTGTAACATTTCATGGTATGTTCAGCATTTTATCAGTCACCATAAAATCTCACGATTTATGCAAAAATTTGCATTTCTGCTATAGTAAACAAATGAATTATGTTGCTGTGGCACATTAGTACAATATGGTAGGGTATTGCTTGTGATATAACTATTTAAACAATATTAGTATAACATTATTTGAGAAAATATGGATGCAAATAATTCTCCTGAACCTAAAGATACATAAAGAAATGACATTCGATGAGGAAGTTGGCACGATGACTTCCAGTGGCGACACCTTCCAATCATCAGTAAATATGATTACCGGAGAAGACTTTCAGTTGGTGGAATGACAGGAAAATGAGGTTAATTTACTTAATACATGTTTTGAATTGCACTATTAATATTGCAATTAACAACTATCCCCAAAACTAATACGAGTTACTTTTATTCTGAATTGTATGATCCTAATTTGTATAAAACGTCACTAGTTAGTTTTTCTTAATAAACATTTAACTTGCCATGAACCGATGGTTGTGTATTTGTGTTGCTAAGGATGTTAAATTTAATAACATACTGATAGGTACAAGTGCTCTTAACAAACCTGTATGGTTGCATGTTAACGGGTTACAGACGCAGGTGACTGATAAATAATTTAACCAAGTATTTCTTCATGTGAAAATAATATTAAATAGTTCTGTCCCAAAATTAAATGTTATTTGCAAATACTGCTCAGCAGTTTGCCTAATGAAATTTTAACTAAATCTAGAACATTAAATATAATTCGCAAGTTACAAATACTGTAATACATACTTTTCTGATCTATAACCTTGTCCACACTGACAAAGATATTCCTCCTCTTGATCAACACACTGTTCAGATTTAACATCACAAGTGTGATGGTTATTTAGACACTCATTCTCTGGAGGACATTTAAAATAATGGTAAGAGAAACCGAAGTCATCATGACCGGAAGACCAATTCTCAGAAGATGCAGAAGTATTTGTAAAAATAACACTCTCACTTCTTATGGTACCTTTAACAGAAAATTCACATAAAATATTGACAAAATGTTTTAAAGCTTTATATAAAAATGTTAAACTATTAAACCTAAATTTGGCTTCTTTCAAAAGGTTTGTTTCAAAATGACAAATAATTGCACAAGAACAAAAAAAAAAAAAAGTAAAGTGTCTCCAGAATAAGATATCAAAACTCAATTCTGAATACTCTGTGCATGTACTCATCAAATATCAATATTATATTTTTATCACTCAAAGCATTTCCTCCTTTCCCTCTGTGATTTAAATGTGGCAAAAAAAGTTTGAAGTATTAATTTTTTACACATAAAACTAACAAAATTCATTTTTCAGTGGAATATAAAACAAATACAAGAAAACTTGTAAAACTTCAATAAATGGAATTTGAAAGAGAAAATATCATGTTTTTAGATATTTAATAAGTTGTTTCAAAATATGAGACAAATAATACAATAGTTGAAAATTCAGAAAGAATTCTGAAATTCTGAAAATTCAGAAAGAATTTTACTGGTGGTATCATTTTGTAGTGCACACTAATTGCAAAGGTCTGTAATTTAATGGAAAAATTCAAATAAATATTCACAAAGTTACAAACAAGTTTTGATGATACCAATATATTTAATGTATTTTTATGTAAAAATAATTACCAAAAATAAGAAGTTCATGTTGTTTAGAAAACAGACTATCACAAGTTCCACGATTTGGTTCATCAGAGCCTTCTGTGCAAAACCCATAACCAGTGTTATTTCCTGACTCCACAGAACACCACCTACAAACAAAATACACACATATTAAAATCAAAATTAAATCAACAATTTTGTTCCGATACTTCACCAGTATCTATTTCTGTAAAAAAGAAAAAACAAACACAAGACCTTACCCACAATGAGCATGACGTAAACAGGTAGAACACTGTCTGAAAGTTGAACATGGTTCTGGACAGCGACCTATATTATCTCGGCGCAAAACCAAACCACAAACACCTCCTGAACAATACAAAGGTTGATAGCTCGGAGATAAACACTGCAATAAAACAAAAAGTTTTATTTTTTTAAGTAATTAGCAATACACTTCAGAAAGTCACTTCACTATCATTAAAAGGTTCATAAATTTCAAATATAGATCAAAATTTCACTTCATCAAATTTTTAATGATACAAATTGCAATAAATCAAACCTCATAGTCCTCACTATCTCTTTTGGGATTTAATAAAGTCACAATTTAATCACTATTGAACATTTATTACATGAATGTCCTCACAACAAGGAAGTCAAATCTTGTCAATATTGTTTAAATTTAGTTACTCCCCACATTTTACAAATGATTCTGAGTCAGTTGTATGTCAAGTTTTAGCACATTTTTTTATCACATTAAACACACCTCATTTAGTTTAACAGACCAGCGACATTCATGCCATCCTCCTTCTGCCCCTTCAGATGCAAGGCAACTATCACAGGAAGTGTGCTCACTACAGCGAGATGGGCATACAGGCGGAGGAATTATCTTAAAGTCAACATCTGTTCTATCATTATATTCCAGAGATGCACAGTCCCAATCAAAGACTGATTCACCTGTTACCTGCAAACCATGATCTGAAAAAAGCAACATTGGTTAATGGAATTACCAAGGAAATCATTTTAATCTTTTGCACTGAAGTCTTACTTTCTCATATTCACCTGTTCGAAGAGCTTGTCTCGTCCAGGCACACGTGCCTGTATCTGAACATTTTTCACAGTCAGAAGCAGCACACTGTCTTTCTGGACATTGATTAGATACAGTTATATTAGCATATGCTCGATCTCTGGTGCATTTTAATTCATTATCACAATCTCCATATAATGAAGCACAATGTCCCTTGGAACAACCAGTACACCATTTACAAGCCTACAAAAAGTATATTAGACTTTTGAGTATATTATAATACTATTAAGTATTGACTATTGAGTATTTATTATTAAAGCAGAGTTACTGACTGTGAGATACAACCATGAGACGCAGTGGCAGCTCGTGCTAAGGTTGCATGGTTCCACAACCCCCACATAATTGAAACATATAGCATACATATATAAAACTTGTGAATGTGTGATGAATGAATTTTGGAAATTACATTTCTGTCATTCAATGGAGGTACAACCTCCAGTCTGTTGGGGCACCAACCGCCACTGATCAGATGATAGCAAAGATAAAGGAGAGAATAGAAGGGATGGTAGGTGGTAGAAAAGATGAGTTAATGTAGAGGGGAGCAGAGGAGTAATAGATAAAGAAAATGCACAATTTGTGGAGAGCAAAAGGGGAAAAGCAAAAACACACCCTAATGATATAAGTACAAACCGGTGGCTGTAGAAGAAGTTGTCCTGGCCATTGTGAAAGACATTCTGTACATGTCAAGAACTGCTCACAGCGTCTATTAGCAAGCCATGACGCATCACATGTTACCCCATTATTACTTTCAATGGTACCATCTTGATTTTCACATCTTAAGTAAATGAAAAAAAAATTATTTATAATTTGTCTTGAAGATGCTACATTTTGTGGAAATTGAACACCCAAAAGGAATGGCCCAAATGAATCCACACCTGGTAGATTTGTAGATCATAATACCACCAAAAAACCATTAAGATTAGAGATACAAATAGGCCCAGCAGTGCCCTCTCCTTACAGGATCAAGTAACACTTTTATGCCAAGTTCAGTTTGTGAAAATTCAATGAATAGAGGAAACACAAAATAAAACATGTGACAGTATTCCAAAGTCAAAGGACAATTTGAAAAACACAAGTCGTAATGGGAATGTCTCTGGAAAACAAATTTGTAATATCATGACAATAAATCTTTTACAGGTCAAGCTGCTGTGACAGTGATGTGTGTCTGGAACCAAAGGACAGAAGAGGGACTCGGAGAGAAATAGACCATGCAATCTGATAACACCATGGGATAACTACCATCCTGTCTACATAAACATATAATACTGACTGTATAGCCTCATTTAGTGTTGGCTCAACACAGGAGCACCAAGTTGAATCATGTCAGCATTATGATAAATGTCAGCATTGTTAATTCAACCCAGTCTGCATTGGAGGCACACACACCATCGTACTGGGCTTCTATTGGCCAAAAACCAAATCAAGTGAACATTAATATAGATATTCTGAGAGACAAAATGTAATATTTTAAGGCAAGTCCCTATGCAATTGGTTCTATGGTTATGAGCACTTATGTAAAAAGTACCCCTGTGGTGAATGCTATCCTGACACCTGGATTGTCAGTACACTTATGCCAAGTGTAAGTCTACCATTCTGTTGAATTCCCAAGTTCAGACATGTACAATTCTGAAATTTTAATCATTGTGTATCGTGAACCATTATGTGGTAACCAGTTTATTTCAATTACATGTGTCCCTCCTTGGTGTTGCAATTTCCACAAAAAGGTTATTTTAAAATATTTTTATTCTATTTACATGTACATTATCACACGTATCAATAATTTAAAATCTAGTAAGGATAATTAACAGTTTTTGAAACACATGTATTAGAAGGTAATAAAAGACATAACTTGGGATATCTCTGTTTTAGTGAAGAATTAATGAAATTTATTACCTTTCAAATGATGGCCGATTGTTGGAATAACAGTATGTGGAGTTAGTTACATTAGTATTTTGATCATAAAAAACACCACAAAATGAGCATCCCAGAAAATTACGGCATTTATCCTTATCCGTCCACAGAGCACACAAATCTCGAGGTAGAGTAATCCTAGTAACATGATTCTGGATGCTGCCGTCAAAACCACCAATGATGTATGCTTTTATGTAAGGTTTATCTGAATCAACTTCAAATGTCATGGCTTGAGAAAAAGTATGAGGTGGAGGAGTCCCCACAATATCAATATCTGCAATATTGAAACACAAATTTTAATTTATTAAAAATATTTTCGATTCTGCCAAACACACAACCAGAAATTTTCAATTACCTCTTGAAATAAGACGAATCCACTGATTGCAAGTGTAAGTGTAAGCTACAAGAGAATCAGTGGTATTCTGAGGATATGAACGTCCACCAAATATTAACATGAAATCATCCGTTGAAATAGCAGAATGTAGAAATCGAGCCCTTGGCTGTAAATTATAATAGTAAAATCAATCCTGACACAATAAATAATTTGCCATATTTAAAAAATCCAAAATGCATACCAAATGTTCATCATATGGATTGTATTCTTCAAAACCAGGAAGGAGAGTCCAAGTGCGAGTAGGATAATGAAACGCATACAATTTATTTGAAATAAAAGTACGATTAATGCCATACAAATAGCCTCCAAAGACATAGAAACTTTTTGATGGACTATGGTACACTGTACTGTGACCATAAACACCTAAAAAACAAAAAATATTAAAATCAAATCAAATCAAATCAAATCAAAGCATAAATATGTAAAATAATTAAATCACATGTACCTAAAGGGCCACTTCCAGTGATGTTCAAAGTATCCCATTCTCCAGTTTTTAGATCAAATTCCCACACAGTATCCAGAAACCCATACTTAGGACTAAATCCTCCAATTAGTACTAATGTCTCAGATTCTTGGAGTCGACATAATGTCAAAGTATGACCTGCTAGTGGTGGAGCTTCCTTTTTCTTTCTATGTATGTACTACAATCAAAATAAATAAAAAATATGCAAATAAAACAACCTTATACAGTTTTTAAAAATAAATGTGATTTAGAACAAAATATCTCACAGGTATATCAGTCCAACGTTGATTCTTCAAATCAAACTTCCAGAAGTCGTTTAAAGTATTACTACCAAGACCAACAATGGAAGCAGCTTTCTCTGTCAACCCTCCATAAACATAGAGCTCCTGTCGAGAACTTATAAATTCAGCAGCGTGAAAGTAGCGACCTTGTGGCATATTTGTATCTCGTGTGGAATCAACAGTTACCTAAATATTTAAACTGTTTAGTACACTGCATTATTAGTACACTGCATTCAATTAGAATAGAAGAAACTTCATTCTTACTGGCATCCAAGTATTGTTCTTGGTATCAAATAATCTAATATCATTTAATGGGCCATGGGATAAAGAAAAACCACCAAACATCCACAATGAGCCTCTCTTATCAAGCACTAAACTGTGACCAAATCGTGGTAATGTCTTTCGCAAATGTTCCAAACTATCTGCCAGCATATTAGAATCAAATAATCTGGTGAAAACTAATTGTGATTCCTTCAATGTAACGGAACAATCATTTCCACCAAAATCTGCAGTACAAAGGCATCGACCATATACCTGCAAATGGCACAAATTAATAATTACAACAATTATTAATTTTGATAACTTTCACTTATTATTTTCAACTTAACCCCCAAAATTACCATATTTACCCAAATATAAGATGAGCACGTGTATACACTCATATAATATGTAATTACATTCTAGGATGTATTTTGGCATACATCACAAATTTGCTGTGTGATTCATACCAGTATTTTTGAAAGGGCTTACAAAGAGAGGATCTCAAACAAATGGCACTGCATCAAGTGAAACACAATGTGAAAATGAAAAAAAATTATTGGTGAGATTTTGTTACACAATGCGCTGATCGACAAGGCCATGTGGGTGGTCAATTCATGACCCAGCAAGTGCAAATCTTCATTTTGCAAGATATGGAAATGAAAAAATTCACAGGAGCACACATTCTACATCCAACCACAGAGAAGGATGATAAAAAAAATGTTCTAAACAAAAACTTCCCAAATTTGAAAATTTGCCATTTTCCCCCACGTTACCGTGAAACATAGGAACACGTGAATAAGTTTTCAATTCCCAACTTGATCACATAAATTAATGCAAATTTCAAGTGAACTGTGTTATAGAAAGAATGTAAAAGAAATTTTAAAGAAGCAGGAGAGGAAGAAAATCTGGTGTCATGAAGGGAATGTTCTTAGGTGATGTCAGATTAAGAATGCAAATTCAATGCATAAAAATTTGAGGAGCCTAAAAATTCAGAAGGCATTGCAATTTGGGAGGAGGAGCAAAAAGAAAGAAACAATGATTCATGTGAAGATGAAGAAGGTAGTAACAAAAACATGATTATGATGACTTTAAGGAACAAGAAAATCTAAGGGGAAGAAGGTCTAAGTTATAATTTTCTCATCCACAAGACAGTTTTCTAGTTAATTAGATAATTTGAAATTTTATTTTTACTAAAAGCAAGAATTAGTTAAAAATTTAAAAAAATTCTCAGAAGGTCTCTTCAAAATTAGGGGATTGTCTAAAAAAACGAGTCACAGTCAACTTACAAGGAGTACATACGGTAACTGATTTCCCATGTTTCCAGAATTTACTTTCACAAAGGAACATTATTTTTAACGTTTAAACAATGAAGGAAATCTTCTCACCTTATCACATACACCTTGTTTCCTTTCTGCACTGCAATTGTTTGGACACATAAGTGTAGAGCAGTTGGCACCTGTATATCCCTCTTTGCACACACATTGCTTTGTAACATTGTGGCACACATGGTTACCATAGCACTTATCTTTGCAAGTTAAAACTGAGTAACTGGCATTAAATCCCTCGGCAAAGTCTCCTTGCTTATAATAAACAGTCAAAGTCCCTGTTGAACATGAACTATATCAATAAAAAATAATATTGATGCATATTATTATTGATGCATAAACAAATCTAATGCTAATTACCAGATTTAGCTTCTACTGTAACTGGGTAATTGGTGTCCATACTACAAAAAATTCCAAGAACATGACTCTGGTGTCCTGTATTGGAAGACACAAACTCTGGAAGACCATCATAAACATACACACTGTTTTCTTGGCAACTCACATTTATATCATCATGGATTGTAAACTGAATTATGCTTGATGATCTGAATAAACAAACCAGAAGAGTATTCATGAGAGAATTTAAAATTTCTCTAATGTACATTTATATAAATAATAGTCATTTATTTTAACATATACCCATCAGAATTAAGTGATTTGTTCTGAGATCCATTAGGCTTTACAATCCATAAGCATTCTTTGGTTGGTGGAGAAGCAGGCCGCATTTCCCATGGCGTTCGTTCACCTAACCGACTACCAAGTCCTTGAGAATCAGTGCCATACAACATTCCCCTTGACATACACTGATAAAAGCACATACCACCATGCCTGTAATTAAACATAACAAAACTGAAAAACTTTCTTTTACAAACAATGTAACATGCTCTGCACAGTCAATTTAAAATAGAATCATCATCAAAAGTGTATTTTTACCTTGGGTCTCCATAATATCCTTTTTTACACCTTTCACAGTTATCACCCTCGGTGTTATCTTGACAGAAACACACACCTGTGTGTGGATCACAAATACCACGAGATGCATCACCATGGCCATTGCAATTGCAAGCATGACATCCTTGAGAAGTAGTTGCATTCCCAAAACTTCCATTTCTACAAGAGAATATTTTGAAGGTAAAAAATTACACAAGTCAACAACAAGAAAACATAAAAATATCTTTTGTTAATGACATTGACTCACTTGCAACGTTCACAGAATTGTCCTTCTGTCCAGTCATGACACAAATCACACACTCCTACTTTTTCCTTGCAAGTGGAATGATTGTTGCATCCACAACTGATACTACAGTCTTCGCCCGTCCAACCCAAATCACATTTGCAGGAGAAATGTGGCTTGCCCATGCAATAACCATTCACACAGTTACTGAAGCACCTATAATGCAATATAATCTCCATTACATCCCAAGCAACACATCTTAGAAATTTTCACAGTTTTCCTTTTCTTTAGCTACTTAATTCTCTATAAATTCAATATCTAATATTTAAGAAAGTGGCAATCAAGCAGACATCAACCCAGGTTTTACTGGCGATTTTGATGAGGTACCCACATCTCTTTTCATTTATAAATTACAAATGATAGGCATTATAAATCCATTTCTTGATTGGCTTCATTCTTATTTACAAGACAGAAGAACTATAAACAATTTTTAACAAGAAAATTAAGTTTCTTCAGGCAGCCTGCAACGATAACAGTTGAGACAATCAGTATTATATTAATGTAGTATTTACACATTCATATTTTTCATTATTGGAAGATTAAAATTTGTATCAGACTGTTGAGTCTGTATGATTTGAATAGTATGGTCCCCATATAAATAAGTGCAAACTAAAAAGAAATAAGAAACCAAGTACAGACTTTTAGGAAATATGTACATTGAAATGTGTAAATCCAACAAAAATTATAGGGTTGATTTTAAATTTGAAAATTTAATTTACAAACAAATACTAACTTTAATTTTAAAAATATGAGAACATTAGGAAAAGGCAAACTTGAAATTTCATTGAAATGTACACAATGGTAGTGAACGCTGTCTTACATCTAGGATGGATTCCCAATTTTGTTAAATGTAATGAACACACACAACTTTGTAAGTCAACTTTGTAAAGTCATTAAATTTAACAAAATTGTACAATGGCAACTTGTATAAAACTTACTATTATTTTAAAGTATACAACTACTATCTGGTCTTTTCATATTCCAATCAAATGTTTTAAAAATGTATAGTTTACGTTCTTTAGTTACAAAGCTTTTATACCAATTTACCAAGTCCCTGATAAACACATGATAAAAGAAGTCACCCAGACTCATCTTTCTACTTTTAAGTCCAATACAGACTATAACAATATTAATGAGTTATATAAAAAGTTAACATTGTTCAAGAGATTAGAGCTTTAGTCCTTGTTTATGTTTAACTTGAATGAGTATGCATTAATTTATTTCATACACCAACAAACCTGAATATCATATTGTCAGTGCACAAGACGAGTAACACATCTCAAACATAATGTTTTATTTAAACAAAGAGTCAAGTTTAGGAAATAGAATAATTTTACTAGTACAAATTACATAAAGGTATTTCACAAGACAATTAGTGTAACTATTAGTATAACCTGCACTTTTTCTTTGGCTCCAGTTAGAATAACCTTTCTTGTGCCCCAATGAAACCATCAACCCAGTTGGATTTTTTAGTACTCCAAGTACTCTTAACCTAACCATTTTTTGTGTGATTTTTCCCCCAATAGTTTACAATTCAATACTGTCTTTAGGAATCTTTCTTGCTTTATTCTGTTGATGTGATGAAACCATTTTTTTCAGATCTTCCTTTGTTTATTTCTTCTTTGATTTAAGTCTTTTTCTAATATATTTTCTTCTTTGCTGGCCCTTTAATGTGACTCCTGCAAGATAGTGTAGAAATCTCATTGAAGTGCTCTAGTCTTCGCTGACCCCTACTTTTTGTTGTCCAAACTTATGATCCATTCACGAGTATTGGAATCGAAATCATATCGTTTCCTTAATTTAATCTCTTTAGGCATATCTGTTTTTAAATGTCTTTTGATTAATCCATTTTTTCAGTGCTATTTCTGGATTTAATTTTTTATGTCCTCTGATCTGTATTCAATGATACTGCCTAAATAATTAAATTTATATTGTTCTTCTATTTGACTTTGGCTAACAAATGTCAGAATTTAGCCTCCAAGACTGATATCAGAATTTATTTCTCCACTTGCTTAATAATAAATGAACATTATATCTTATAATTTTCCTGTGGGAGCTTAAGAAGAATATGTCTAAAATACTTGAAAAGTGAAAATAATCATGTGCTTGGTGAAGGTAATTGCAACTTTCATGCCATATATGAAAAAAAAATCATGATGGACAGTTTAAAAATATTTTTCTTTAGGTTAAGTAATAAGGAAACCAAACTGATGACGCAATCAAAACTGTAAGTCAAACTAGTCTAAGACACAAAATTCACGAAGTGGCAAAACCAAGGCAATCAGATGTCACATATTTAATAAAGCCCAGGATTTGGATAGCTTTATTTACAATGTAATCCAACAGTGCAAATGGAATCCCAGCTTATTATCAAACATTTTCTTTTAATTAAAAGATAATGCGCAGGTGTCTTAATATCAAAAGTGACTATTTTAACTAACCTAACTAACCTTAGTGCAGTGCTTCTAAACAAGCTATGAATTGCTCTGTGTACCCACGGTTTCTGACTACTTTCTCTAATCTAGTCTTCAACTTTCTTTTATACCCTCGGGGACTTTCCTAACAATTCATCATTATACAATTTCTCAATATAGTTGTTTCTTAATTTTTGAAACTGGCATGTTATTTTGAATCAAGCTCGTTAAATACATACAGAACCTGAAAATATTGAAATTAAAACAAGTAAGTGTAACAAATGTAAAGTTAAGATATTCTGCCAGGAAGGTCCCACACTTTATTACAGAATTAATAATAAATCTAAATAATTTAAAATACAACTAATGAAAGTAAAATACCTGCACTTACGTTTGTTCACATTTATCAACACCATCTCCAAAATAACCACGCCTGCATTCACACTTAAAGGATCCTCTAGTGTTAGTACAATCTGCAAACTTGTGACAATTATCCAAGTTAAGAGAGCATTCATCTACATCGGGACATTCTGCATAAGACCAACTTGCATCTTGTTCATCTAAACTTGTGTTATGTACATCATTTATAGCTTGACTACATGCATCTGGAAAACCAACAAAACATGAGACAATAATTGAGACAATTTCTATTCATCCAACATACAATAAGGCAACAAACATAAATAAATATTTTATAATAAAAAATTTGAAAATTCTTTCAACTGCACAGGCAAGAGTCTAAAAATTAGCAACTTACCAATAAGAGGTTTATTGAAGTCACCCTGTACACAAACACCAGTTATAGGGTTGTTCGTATCATAGCACCAACCACAACTCAATGTATGCAAACAACTTGAGCAATTTGTATGCCGACTACATGATTTACATTGTTCATTGTCATTTCCAATTGCTGGTTTAATTCCTCCACCAGTCCGTTGCTGATAAGAACTACTTGAAGGATAACCGGTACTATACACTTGATCAACCCACTCCCGACAAAGACCAAATTGGTATTCAGAGGTATACACAGAAAATGAGAAGCATTCCTATAAGCAAGAAATGGAAGCCGCAGTAATACATTTTTTCAAAGACACTGTAATCTTTTCTTAATAGTAAAAATCCTTGAATCTCCTACCACTATTACGCATTTAAAGAACTTTACCTGTGTAGCTTCACACCATACACAGCGTCCTTCATCCAAACACTGGGAACAATTAGTGCGTTTATGGCATGGTGTGGGACACTGACCCAAGTCCACAACAGCATCAGAAAACCTATTAACAACAATAATTCACAAAACCATAAACAACATACAATATAAATCACAAATTTACAGCAACAAGCCTCCTTGTTATTTCACAATTTACTAACCTGCCGCGACGGGCACATCTTGCATCTTCAGTCCACCATTCACATAAATTACTACCTACACAACTCTCACAAGAAATATAGTTGGAGCAATTGGCACAGTTAGACGGCAACAGGGTAAGATAGTGCCATTCATCAACATTTGTAGGAGAAACACAATATTCTGTTTCATTAAGGCTTCTTGGCAAGCACTTGTTGTTCACACTGCACCATCCACACATTGAATCAGTAAGACAATGCAGACAATTCGAGTACATATGGCAAGAGCCATTTTCAAAAGGTTCCAGGTATTCAAATGTAAAAACCTTAAACAAGAAACCCATTAACAATGAAAGTTTGTCAAAGATATTTTCACAAGCAAATCTGTACAAATAACAAAACAAGAAAAAAATTCCAGAGGGAACTTGAAAAACTGAATTTAAAAAATTCAAATTAACAAGTTTTCTTGTCTTTACTATGCACTGATAAAAAAAATGATTTTGACTAAAATTTGTTCAAAATCTTAAAAACACATGCCCATGAATGTTTACCATAAGTTATTCCAATAATTTAAATTTATTTTATTCAAAACTAGCAGAACACAGAAGATGTTCTTCCCTTTATCTCCCTATCTCTCTCTTCGTCTCTTCCCTCTCTTCCTCTCCTCCGCCCAGCAAAAATGTAATAGAATGCTCAAAAAGATCTCATCCTGTAGACTATGGCGTGAAAAACATTGCTTCAAGGACTTTGACCTCACAATTTTAGTTTTTATTGACCTAGAACACTTAGAGTAGGAATTACTTAACGATAAAGATTCAAAAAATCCTACTGTGTGAATTGCGGGTTGCATTTGGCATGAATATTTAGTTTTGTTCTACATCGCCATCCAACTAATTTTTCTGCAATTTTTGTAGTTAATCTTCTATTCAGGATGAAGATGAATCCAATAAATAAGAGATAATTAAAATTGGCACAGCCGTTTTTCAGTTATAAACGCTGTAACTAACCCGACTTTGTTTTACATGTCTGTCCGTGTGTCTGTGTCTGTCTGTCTGTGTGTATGTGTCTGACTGTGTGTGTATAAGACTACCCATGAGTGTATGTGTATGTGTCTGTCTGCATGTATGTCTGCCTGACTATGTCTGTGTCTGCCTGATTGTATGTATATATGTATGTACGTGTGTGTGTGTGTGTGTGTGTGTGTGTGCCTGACTGTCTGTCTGTGACGTATGTGTGTGTCTGTATGCATGTGTGTAGGACAACAAGAGCCAATTTTTGTTTCTTACCATACTGCAGTATAGATCTTTTACTTCTTTTAAAATTAATTTGTTGGGGGTTCTTCAATCGAAAGAACATACTACCCTAACAAGAAACTATATATACAACAATTCTCTTCGCAGATGACCCAGAAATAATGATGAAGGCTGAAGATTGTATAGAAATTGCAGCAAACATAATAGCAAGAATGTATGACATGACCACTTCTACAAGTAAAACCAAAGTCATGGCCTTAGAAGGATCAAAAATTAGACAAGCTAAGATAGGAATAGGAAGTAAAATTGTACTACTTAGGCCACATGCCACACTTAGACAAAATGCAACATTGATCCTCTCCAATCAATAACTCAATCATTAATGCTTACTATTGCTTGGCAAGTAAAGACAATTGTCTTACATTAAAATAGAAAGTATCTTGAAAAATACCTTGGCATTCTCATGACTTTTATTATGCTGGAGTTCCATCTTAGACTGCTGATGAACATTGAAGTTACTGGCTGTATGCGACTCAAAATCAACTAAATATCGCCCTGGGATATTTAGGACTTCATCTGGCTGAAGAACAACAGGCTGCCCATTGGGCCACTGGGCTGCCACACACTGTGAAGACTCAGCTGTGAGATTTGCAACAGTTTCCTAAGGACATAAAAGGGTAATGAAAGCAAAACAATACTTAAAACTTCATAAGAACAACTACCCAATTGCTGCAGATTACCAGGTGTGAAAGAGTAGTGTATACCAGTGTAAAAATTTGAAAGAGCCCAAGGTATAATCCTAAATGTGAGTTTTTAACATACATTTTACATAATTTGGTTAATTTGTTTTAGGCATAATAATATATTGTACAAACATTATATCTACTTTCTGAATATCTAATCAGAAGAAACAATTAGTACTTATTCCTAATGGGTACCATATCTTCACCATTTATTAATAATTACTTGGGCGTTTATTTATCACAATCGTGTAATAGCAAGCTAGCATGCATGGCACTGAACATGTTTTGCATGAAGATCCTTCACACTAACGCAGATAACTATTCTTTCTTCATGTATTTAATTTGGTGAAAAAAATATGAAGTATAATCAAATTTTTAATTCATATTGAAGACATATTTTATTCTATAAATTTCAAACTAAAGTGCCTACCCTGTGTTGCTGCAATATACATTTTTCACAATCCACTAGTCTAGGATTTTATCCAATCTAATTCATTCCCCCCTAATATGGCCTTGTCCACCTTTGATCTGATCTCACTCCAAACCTCAGATCTACTTCACTCACTTTCTCATAAAAGGATTAAGAAATCTGCACAAAAAGAAAAACATACTGGATTCAAAGTGTACAAACCATATCAGAATGAGTCTTCCCATGAGATAGACGCAGAATTGTTGACGAGAAACTTGCACACATGCGTAGTCTTTCATTGCCATCACTCCAAGTATCAGGAGGCCTTAAAAAGCCCAGCAAGCGTGCTATTATTTCTCCTCCAAGTGACTGTTCGGTTCGAGATGCCTGACTCAGCATATTGAAGTCCACTGTTGTAGCATTTATTATACTAACCTACAAGATTAACAAGGATTACATATGTAAATATGAAATATTAATTCCATTTTATAATACAATTCTTTTATTTCACTACATATTAACAAATAAAAAATATGCGTTATTTTAAAACCAAAACAAAATCTGAAATGTCTTAACTTGAATAATAAAATTATAATTAAATAAATGACCCTGTTTTACAAGAATTACACGTCCACCTAATGCAGCTAATAAGTTGATACACAGCATTTCATATTTTCATATCATTTCCTACAACTTTGTTTCATCAGTGCACAAAGAATATTTTCCTATTTTATAAGAAAATAAAGAAATTTTCAGTTGTTATATATACATTTAGAATATACATTAGGAAGGTGGTTCCTCAGGTCAATTGTAATGATGATTCAACTGACCTGCATTCAAGAACATTTTGAATATAAAATGAGCAACCAGACCAAGAAGAATAACATGCATGAATCATAATACTTTGTACTAAATTGTTAAATATTTCATTATTTAAGTGAATAATTTGAAAATGAAATTCCAATAACTGAAAATAATTACTTTGTAAAGACAAAATTGTATACTCTAAAACAATAACTATTTTTGTATCTGATTTTTCAATAATAACACAATCAACACTCAACCAACCACAATCAACCACTTACCAAAGTTTCAATAAATCATCTTGTACAATAAGGCCAGGACAATGTTCCGTATTTAACATTTAATTTTGGAACAAAACAATTCCTCTGACATCTTTACTTTATTTCATCCAAATTCACATAGAGAAACAAAGAAACGCTATTTCTTTTAGCTTTGTTTGCTTCAAATCACAAAGTTGGAATATGAGGTTTAATAGTAAATTTACTTACTGAATCAGGTTGAGAAAAATTTGCAGGATGACGATATTTTATAAATGTTAGGCCAGGCCGACGATCTAGCACTCTACATTCTTCCACTTTCACTACCTCAGTACCTTTTGGTCCCCACCACCCAGGAACCTGAGAGAGAGAATCTTCCCGAAGTCCACATACTCCAAAATTATCTGCAAGAAATGGTATTTTCAAGTAAGAGAAAGGAAAGTAGAAAATCTTTTTATAATGCAAATAATAACAACCGTGTTAAGGTAAAAATTGAGAAAAAATTTAACATACCATCTTTATAATTACACCGTGCATTCTGCACACACCAAGTACAATGATCAAGGCGTAGTTTGCTGGCCACTGATGCCACTAGTCCACTAGCACCTGATCTGCTTTTTCCTGTTAGGACACCTCTACTGTGAACTGCATTTCCATGTATTAGACATGAATGACAATCTCCCAAGGCAGGGCACACACCAGGACAGCGGGTAGTTTGGAGATTGGTGGTGCAATTGATGCCCACTGTGCGGCCATAACAGACTTCATCAGCAGAACACCATCCACATTCAGGATTAGCAGTGCATTCCATGAGAGTGCGATGCCTATCAAAGAAGATTGCAGTAGCCCATTATTCATGAAGCATAGTACATATCAACTATTTTGAAAAATTACACTTTATGTTTTGCCATACCTATTGCAGATCTGTTCTGGTTCATAAATTTCACCAGTTCTGCTAGCAAGCATGGGAGGTAGAGTGTAAGCAAGGAGATCAGAATTGACATTTCCATGATAACCACCCACTATTAATAAAGTATTCCCATTTCGTACATCAGCTGCATGGGCAAAGACACCCTGTTGTTTGGGATATCTATAATCTTGACCTGAAAACAACCATCAATATTAATTGAGAGGTAATAAGTAACATAACACTCTACCCATTTTATTGAAACTAGTCAGGTTTCAACAGCTTTGCCATTACAATCATTTGGATAAAAATGGTATAGGATAAGAAAGTGAACAAGGAAAATTGGAAAGATGAAAATGAGGAGAAAATGCCATTTTTCACGAGACTTATTGCAGTTTCATACATTAGACAATACATGGATGTTAAATACTATGATCATTTTAATAAGAACAAGTTAGCTGATCAATCTATCAATGTCCAATGAAAATTATTACAAACACCATTTCTAAAAATGATATCAACTTTCAGTAATAAATAGCAAGAATTCTATGAATATTTTATTTTATTATATACAATAATCGACTAACCTTTATCAGAACTCCCAAGAATATCATGACTGATCCAAGTATGACAACCTAAATGATACAAATACATTTGATTGTCATAGCAAATTTCTTCTTTATTATGGCGATGTGAGTAGCCTCCAAACACAATTAAATAATTTCCTAAAAAAGAAGAGTAATACACAATACTAATCAAAATAAAAAATTACAATAACTGTAATTTTTGTATTAGTAATTAAAGATTGAAAATATTACCTATGATGGTACTTGTGTGAAACGCTCTTTCTCTGGGAACATAGGTATCACGCAAATGAGCTCTTGGATAATGTAATTCTGACCAGTGTCTACTATCCAAATGAAATGAAAACATTCTGTCACTCAATTTTGAGAAACGTGCCACACTAGCTAGGACACCTCCATAAACAAGCAAAGAGTTTGTGTGAGGATGATACACAGTAGAATGAGCAACCACACGCACATCCAACTCCTTCCCTCCTCTTGGATGAACAGCTTCCCAATTTTCATTGTTTGGATTAACTGTAAATAAATGAAATATCAAAACAATTTGTATTACTAATGAAACATCAAATATGAGGAAAAATTAATTAAGACTAAACTATCACACTTAACGTTCACCAACGCCCTTACATCCACATACAAACATTCAAGCCCACTCCACACACAAACAATTTTTTTTAAATATAAAAATCCATAACTATTAATGATATTAATAGGCCATTTTAACCTTTTTTAAAATTAATTTTCACAAACAAATACAAACCATGACACTTTCACAATCTTAATTATCTTAATCAAGTTCATTAAAGCTAGCTTCAATTGACCAGAAAGAATTCATACCTGAATTATAAAGTTATTTTCATAAAAAAATGTCAAACAAATTCTTCCCTTCAAGTAATATATAGTTTTACAAGAAATGCAGAATTATATTCAAAAGTAACTAAGCTAAAGACAAAGATTTTAAATTAAATTAAAAGATTGCAACAGCATGAAGTACCTTATAAATGTATTTAAGTTGGAGGTTTAGGCAGCATAGAAATTTCAACTGACATTGAATTATAGTTGGTATTACTAATCAAATTAATTTTTTTAGAATATATTGGCCCCACACATTGATGATACACATAATTCACTATGTTCTTCTTTAATTTTTCTATTACATAATTCTTGTTATGAAAATATAAATAAAGTTTTGTGCAATTAATTAAGTATTATAATATTTCCTAAAAAGTATACATCAAATGGATTTAACTCAATCCTTTAACTTGCAATTCCAAAATATTAATACAATTTCTCTCAGAAATGAGCTATAAAAATTATGACGCCAAAAGGTTTCCTAATCCAATATTATCTTACAAAATATTAATTGACAATAAATGTCTATGATGGTACTTGTGTGAAACGTTATTTCTCTAGAAACATAGGTATCTCGCAAATAAGCTCTTGGATAATGTAATTCTGACCAGTGTCTACTATCCAAATGAAATGGAAACATTCTGTCACTCAATTTTGAGAAACACGCCACACTAGCTAAGACTCCTCCATACACATAGTTTAAAAACAAAAACACTTCTCGAAGGCTGCATATTAAAATTGAATTGATCATTATTTAATATTGGATAAAATTGTTCTATAACAAAATGCAACCCATCAGTTTATCAATGATAATTACAAACAGTTTTCAAAATTAATGTTTGTTTCAATATTAAAAATAAAACTGTTCAAAAATATAATCAATAAAATTTTATTATACCTGCTACAGAATTAAGTTATTTGAAGAGACGTCAAAATTTACTGAGGAATTGAAATTTAGTATCTCAACCTATCAATGCTAGCACCTTAATTTATGAGTAAAATAAACAAGAAAAGCTCATACATACTTAGATTTAGTCTAATACGAAAGAGTCGAGATGAAAATTCTCCTCCAAGGGTGCTTCCACCAAATAAATATAGCCAATCCTCACGGCCAGCTCTTGTAAGTGTATGCCGTGTCAATGGAGGAGGACGTATCTCAGACTTGGAAGCACGTAATGTCCACACTCGACCAGAGGTGTTGTAAAACCACAGTTCATCAGACAATGAGCCATTTGACAATTTTCCACCATATAATACAAAACCACCATTGTAACTATAAAAATTAAATTTTATACATTAACTCAGTCCACATAAGAATGAGATTCTAATGCAGGCATTTTAGTACTTAAATTTTGACCATAATTATCTTTTACATTTAATATTCTAGAAAACCTTTCCAGTAAAGTATAATTTTGAAGGAAAACATTCCAGACTTTGTAAAAACAAGAACTTTCTTTGGGTGGTATTGGGAAAAGTGAATCATGAGAAACATATTACAGACTCTTTTATGACAAAAAATTAAGTCAGAGAATGGATTTCCTCCAGAAACAATCTACAAGCCATCAAAATTAACAACAATGAATTAATGTTTTATAATAAAGTACATAATATATTGACAAAATGATAGCTTCTGTATTCACTCATTGCAGGATTACACATTATCTGGAAGTTTTTCTACATTCATTTAACACTGGAAGATAAACATTATCACAATATCCCTGAAACAATTATCATTCTTGACATGTTTTTTTACTCCAAGTTTAATTTGTATTGAAGATTTTTCATCTGAGATGACATAACTTGCTTTATGATAATTTTTTCATGTTCGTGCTTAACATGTGACATACATTGAATTAAGATATTATTTAGATTTTATTTCATTAACATACAATTAAATAAACAAGGTCTACAACTCTGTATTTTGGAAGTCAGGTCCCATTGTGTACTGAATTTTCTCAAAGGGATAACCAAAACCTGGATCATATAAAAAGGCACAACAATAACCACTATTTAATGTAAAATCTAAATGGATTGTCTTCAGACGGAACCCAAAAGAATGAACACGAATACATTTCGAGGCCTTGATGGCACATTCATCGGTTGAATATTTACATTTTCTTATTTTCAAACAGCCAGCTTGCCTTAGAAGGAAAAAATGATTCATCTTATTTTATAACTTGTTGTTGTGAGTTGAGAGAATATAAAAGGAAATCAAATGGAGCAAAGAGAAAACCACATCTGGGAGGAGCAGTACCTACTCATATCAACATACGTAAAACAGACTTGTCAAGAATTCACGCACCTAAACTCATTTCCAGTAGACATCTAAACTACAAAAGAAATTTGGAAACCTTGTTTAAACAAGGAAGAAAAATTGTTCAAAATTAAAACATTGAATGGTAAAATAAAAATTAAAAAGACAACAACGAAAATCTAACTCATTAATATAGAAAATACTGTGTTATAAAATTGAGAGAATTGGGAGATTAATCATTATCACAGTCAAAATCTTTGTCATTGCAAATAAGATCCTCTGCTTCCCGTTTTAGGTTTCTGCGTGATCAGCAATTCTTCTCACCAGTCATATTCTTCTCAATAGATATTCTAAGAAGTCCTGTGTGTATTTTCCTAATTACTTTTCCTGTAAAATTATGTTATAAAATGGGGGTATGTAAAATAGTAAAATTGCAAATGTAATGGATGTTCTCAGAATAAGCATTAGAATTTTGAAACTCATAACACATAACCAAAGTTACTGATAGGAAAAAAATGTAGGCAGAACAAGGAATTGACATAATCAATAGGAATGGTTTGCATTATAACCGTAAGTCAATGGAAGTTACCCTATAAAATATTTTACTGGTTCCCAGAGGGTAGGTGTTGATGAGTAGAAAGACCTGGTAACATATGGGAACAAGCAATAACAGAAGCAACGTCAAACAAATTCAAGAAGTGCATGTTGGGCATAAGGAGAAACTGATTAATTTGTAGTTCATTTCTGGTTGATGTTAACATTATATGATTATTTTCATTAACTGATACACAGATGGTGTCTATCACTGGATCAATCATGGAAAATCATTGTAGGTCAATTAAAACATCAGTTTGGCATGTCTCCCAAATTTATTACAGCACACTCTTCCCAGTGATACTTCTTATTTAACTTGTCAGATCTTAGCACTTCACTTTGAGGTATCTATCACACTGCATTCTGCACTCACTACACCTTCAGTTAGGTTCAAGTTCATGAAAACTGTGTATCCTGTAGATTCAATGATGGAAGCCATAAACAGACAGCTGTTCTTCTGAAGATATGCAATTACTTTAGAATGACTCTGTAATTTATCTATTACTATCGAAGTATTCACTAGATCAAAGACTTTTGAAGAGTAATCCATAAACACAGTACTAAATTTTCTCTTTGATTTCTGACCATATGTCTTGAAAGTTTCCTGCTGCTGCTTTTATAAATCTCCCTGCCCTAAAGCCATTCTTTCCCCTAAGGAGGTGATGTTGTACTCGCCTACTAATTTTCTTAGCTACAACTTATGTTAAAAGTTATAAAGCTGCTAGTTCTAATGTAATACCTCCAAACGTACGATTCTTGTGTAGCATTATTACAATTGATTTTTGCCATTCAACATATCACCTATTCCCTTGTTGATAATGAGATCTGTCCAGATTGCCTGGAACACAACTCTAGTCTGTTTGCTTGTTTTATTCATTCCTGATCTCATCTACATCTGGGTTCTTATTGTTTCTAGAATGAGAGACAATTAATGGATGAAATGTATATACATGTATACATTTTTACGTGTTTAAAAGTTTAAAAATATGTACCCATATGTACATATGTATGTCAGGTGCCTTTATTCATAATTCTATGAAAAGTAGGGGAGGAGTAGGGATTCTGTGGCACAAGAAAACATGCACGATTATACTTCTCTCCCATGCACCTCTCTCATACATACAGAATTTACTGTCATTTGACGGTAAATAAAGGAAACTAATTGATACTAATTCAAAACAATGATCCAATCACAACCCTTTCATTTCTGGACAGAAATATGCATTAAATAACCTTTTACACTACCCTCAATGTTTTGGCATTCCATCAAGTAAAATTGAGGCTTATGAAAAATGATGTTAATCAAATTAATAAAAACTGATTTATATGCATATGTGTAAATATATAGATACACACACACATGTATATAAACTACATTTACGCATCTGACACCCAAATGTTCTTAGGTTAAAGATGCACAACTCAAAAAAATAATATTTTTAAGGACACAAGCAGTATAAGTAATTGATGAAAAATTCAGAATTTTGAAATCTCAAATCTCACAGCCACATCTAAGGAGCAGCCAAACAGAGTTTAAAATAATTTATTGCAGTTCTTGTAAATCATAAACTAGAAAATATAATATCAGAGTGATTGCATTTTTAGATAGTGAACTAAATACTTAAACCTTCAGCTTTTTGCTTTTAATCTGTATTTCATTGAAAAAACAATGACAAAACTGAGATGATGAAAAAATTGATTTTACCCACAAATATAATCAATGGAAAACCGACCAAAGACAGTAAAAGATGTGAACCCTGCTGACTAGTTGGATTAGAAAGGGAGAAAATCCACATCCTAAAAAGAGGCTACTTTTTAAATAAAAGAGAGGCTTATACTTATTTACATAAATAACAATTTTATAAAATGTCTTGTATTACAAACAAATTCTCCATGCCAAAAACTAAAAGTATAGCTTCATGTTCAGCATCAAAAATACAGTTTTGGTTTTTAATGTTCCTTTGAAAGACTTTCAGTTGATTGTTTTTTAGTGATTGTTCTTGAACATTTTTTATTATATTTGGCAATAACAAAAAAAAATTTACAAAATGTAGAGAATATAACTAACCTGCAAGCAGCATGCCCATACCGTGGTGCAGGTTTGGAGGGAATTTTCGGATGGACTTCGGGATTATCAACTGATCCTTTACGATCCATTCCTTGCTGATTATCAGTGAAATTGGGTGACTCAGGTACAGCACTGACAAATTCTCTTTCTGTGGTGCTTTCAGGTTTGTTTTGCTCCCACAACTGACTCTCCCATTCCCCAACAACTTTATGCCTCTCCAAGGGTTCATCTATACTGCCTTCTGATAGCTGTCTTCGAATTCTCAAATGTCTTGCATGATTACTGGCTCGAACAAAACTAGGTTTATCACTGGCTCGTTGATATCGAATGCTCTGGGTGGAATTATCAGCAATTGCTAGAAGAATATTGCTAAAAAATGATGTCTTTGTTCCAATTCCCCAGCGCTTATCTCCTACATGTTCCAGTAAAGCATTCAAAAATTGTTTTGGGTTATCCAAAGGAGTTGCAGGATCCTTATCTGAAATTTTAAAGAAATTTATTACTACAATAGGTGATATACTATAATTGTGAATTTGATGCTTTTTTAATTGCAACTTAATATAATTAATGTAGTTGTACATACCCAGAATATTGCCTTCTTCATCTTCCCAATGGCTTGTGTTGAAACGGTAAATGACAAGATCTCCTAATACTCGATTGAGATCATAACCACCAAATACAAAAAGGGAATCCGAATCACTTAAATAGACTGCTGAATGAGCTGCTCGAGGTGATAAGCCAGTCTCAGAATGTGAAAGCCAATGCCACCTTAAACAATTAAATCATAATTTCTGTTCACAACTATTATTCGTGTATTTCACTTTCTATATATTCAACTTACTTGTTTCCAACAGTATCTGATCGATGAAGTGTGCATGCCTGTCCTGAAAAGCCAGGCTCACATACACATTTACTTCCAGAAGCACAAGTACCATTTCCACAATTTTCTGGACAGAGTTTTCTGCTGCAGTCTTTACCACCCCACCCTTCATCACAAACACAGAAATGGTCGGTACACATGCCATGAGAAATACCATGAGATGAACAATTGTTTGGGCAATCAGTCACAAAAAATTCTGCACGAAAGCCATCCAAAACATAATTTGTGTCACTGTACAACAATATCAACATCTGTGGAATAACGAAAGCATTGAGAATAGTAATTATTATGCATGTTTCTACAATGACCATTTCTTTCAAATTAAACACATCAAGGTTCCGAAAAAGAAAAAAGTACTCACAGCACCAGATGCTGCTGTCACCTGTTGAGGCTCAGTCTTTCCACTAAAACTTCCCAGTAAAGGAGCTTTAAATGAATCTCCATCATACACAAATACATAATCATACGAGCACTCTGTGCCCATGGCTCGGAATGTCAGAGTAATGAACTGTCGACTGTTGTTGGCTAATGAGACATGGAAATAGAGGTTAGAAAAGGATTTTCTATTCTGCAGTGAAAAGTTACTTTATCTTCTCCTACCTCTGACCAAAATGTTCTCTCACCTTTTATTAACCATTCACAGTGAGAGTCCTGAGTGTAATTGGATCCTGATGGTCCATCAGTAATAACACCCCATGAAGTATTAAATACCTTCCGAGATTTATCACACGGTGTTGGCTGAACAGCTGCATTATTATCTTCAATTAAGTGTAACCACCAAATGAACCACCAAGTAATCAAAGTAATATAATTGATATTTATCGAAAATAACTTCTTTTTGACACCTGGCCTCATTGTGCCAGGTTAATAATTCCTCGACACTGTATTAACCATTAACGTTTATTTACGAGATAATTTGACTTTCTTTCACTCATTGCAGCGCACCCGTATATGAAAGTTGCACATAACTGCATTGTGACATCTTCAAATTGCGACGACACATTTAAGTTTAATACAAATTAATCCATTGAGTAGGTGATGCAGCATTCTCACAAACTACGAAGCCCAAGAGAAAGAATCAAAATGATTTCAGTATAAATTATTAAACATGTTCAGCGTAACAAATGTCACTATTCTATTGCACAGGCGTCGCCTGAAGAATCAAGGTTATCCCTAAGTTATCCTAGTCGGCTGATCAGAGTTCTCGTCTCAGCCCCGAGGGCATGCCCTGTCCGTGCACAAACAAAAACAGAGCACCTGCCGCGAGTGAAACTGCGAAATGCTGTACATTTAATACGATTCAATACGTTTGACGCAAGGTGAATGTATGTGGTATTTGGATAAAATTCAAGTTATATGTGTTGGGCGATAATTGAAAAACGGCTCAAAATAAGCCTATGTGGCTATTATTTTCGAAGTAAATAAGAGTACCTTCGGATTCAGTTTTGTCAGCGAGTCTTTCCAGAGACTTTCAAGGACAACTTTTAAAATCGCGCTGGGTGAAATTTTTAACACGCTAAGCCGTGTAATAGAAGCAATTGAAATTCTTAGTAAACTGCCTTTTCCACAACTCTCAATACATACACTACGTAAAACAATGCATATTAACTGCGGTCAATTTTCGAAACGACCAAGATTCTGTCCACAGTGCACGTCAATCCAAGGCGCTAATTATGATAATTTCACAAGGCCGAAGTAGTCAGGTGACGAAAACTCGCTTCAAGGAAAACTTCAGCTTAGGGATTACAGTCTTCAAAGGTTGAAAAAAAATTGGGACGCATATTGATATAAATATTTATTAAAGTACAATCAAAATATTTACAAATACTGTTTTAAGTGCTCCTTGATAATTGGTTTCATAAAATGATTTCCCGAACACAAACATTTTTACACACCGTGCTAAATTTTGAATGACCGTTTACTACGTATTTTTTGTTAAGTTATGGCTCAGAACTTCTTACAATTCTGTCCCTACTCTGAAGACTCTGTAGCCTTCTTGTACCTTCCAATACGAGTAGCGGGCCGGCGCTCGGAGCGCAGAAAACAAGACGTGGCAGGGGTTGGGCTGGGCCGTCCCCTTCCGCCGTCTTCGTAGAACTGATTTATTTTAGTACATTGAATATTGATTTTTTTATTGTCTTTTATATCATTTGCTTCAATTTGATTGATACAAATCTTAATTTATCGCCAGTGTGAACATTCCTGGAGTCTCCCTCAAGACGTTCAGATTTTAGCTCTCTCTCAATTCCCGGAAGGAAAAAAGAAAACCCCCTCTGATACAATGCATTTAATGTATGTTGGAGAAATAAATTCAAACATTCTTATACATAAATTTAATCGGCATAATTGCCCTATTTTCATCAAATAAATATGAACAAAACAAGATCCAGAATAGTACATACAAACAATATATATAAATATATATTTTTAGATTTCTCCATTGAAGTAAATGTCTACAACATGAGCCATAAATTAACCCAAATACTTAATGTCAGATCTGAATAAACTCTGATATTAATTTTAGTTCCTAATATTCAATGAAACAAAAATCTTCTCCAGATTGTAGAACGAAGGGATCAGGGAGCACAGTCTGCATCTAGAATACAAATAAATTATAACAATTGATATTGAAATTGCTCAACTGAGACATGAAGCAAATAAAATAAAGTAGAAATATAAGCGAACTAGAAATGGCAAGTATTAACTTAAAAAGTTGCCTATCACCAGCAATGTTAAAAACAGAAATTCAATACATGAGATTACAGCAGTTTTTGTCTCTTGAAATTTGCGAATAGCTTAACATAATAAAATCGGGTATCAACATGAATTGTATATGTTTGAAATATTGAAATATCAGTTTATTTGCTTTTACATTGAGAGTCTTTCCCAATTTCCTTTATTGTACTTTCAAAGGCACCACCAACATCTGAATTAACAGCAGATGTGTTGTGAGCAGATACAGACAGTGTAGAAAGAGTCTGCCTAGTAGTTCCCACATCTACAGGAACGCCCTAAAACATTCAAAACATTTACTTGCATACATATATCATTCATAAACACACAATAGTGGACTAATATGAAATATGCTGTTAATGCATACCGTTGATGAATGACCCGAACCCATTTTCTGAACAACATTTAATAAATTATTCTGGGCTTCTCTTGCTTCAACCAAAAAAATACTTTCTTTTACTTCTTTTGTACCAAACTTGTCTATCCTAAAATACATTAATGATAAGAAACAGAAGAAGAAAAACAAAAGCAACTTAATAATAAGAAAAATGTTTTCTTACTTATCATATATGATCCCGTGAAGCCCCAAGTTCTTAAGATGTTTAATTGTGCTACTACAGTTATTGTCGTCTCCCCAACAGAAAACAATCAATCCTGAATCAAGAGCTAATTTAACTTGTGTAGAATCTCTAAGCACATCTTCTGTGTGAACATTTATACCCTGAAAGAAATGAAAAAAGTCAGTAATGTAACATAGTAAACTTTTGTGTGCTCAAAAGAAAAAATTGCCTTACCAGTATACCAGCATTATGAGCATGATGTACTGCCATAGGAATAGAATGAGTGCGTGGATCATGGTAGGGGGCATATTTTTTTGTCACTCCTTGAGTAAGAAACATAACTGGATATTTATTTTGCTTCAAGCGAATCCTATTAACAAAAAGACGAATCTTATGTATGTATTTTTCCATTCACATCAATTTAATCTCAATGCAAATTTTTAACATTTTCAAACATTTACTTACATTGTACAAACGTCTGGATGAAAGCATGAAAAAACAATTTTCCGATGACCTGCATGTTGCAGAACTACTTTTAGCATAATGTCCAAATACATATTCAAATCAAATGGATTGTACAATTCATATGAACCATCCTAAAAGGGAAAATATGTAAAAATAAATAAATAAAAATGAAAGAAAGAATGCATCATTAACTAAATGTTTCAGTTCCAATATTTATAGAACATGAATATGTTTTTCTACCTGCAATTGCATAGTCCATTTTATTTCAATATTAAATCCAACATGAGGGTCAACCGCTTCCAGAACCTTTTGAAGTGTTGGGAAGGGCTGGTGATCCTCATGGTCTTCATTATTAAATTTGGAAATTCCAGTAGTACTTTCTTTGAGATGATACACCTAAACCAAGAAGAAGAAATTTATAGTCTTTAACAACAGTACAGAATAAATTAAAGCTAAAAATTGCATGCACTTTGTCAACTACCAAGTACACTGTGAAAAAATTACTATTATTGAAATTGGATGCTGCCTTGGTGATTTTGCTGGAGTGAAATGAATCAGTTGTGTGCAAATTTTGTAAAGTGCTTAAAATTTTTGGGAAAGTAAATATTAAAAGTTGATTCAATTTATTTATAGCTTTCATTTAAACAAAAAAGAAACTGATAATTCAAATCATTTAAGAACAGTGTTGAATATGTTTTAATAAATAAGGCCGTTTAAATCACAGAAAAGTCTGACCAACATGAACTTTTCATTCTTCTCATTTCTATGGAAGAAAAATAACATGAACAATTTATCAAGCAGACTACTCATGCAGCAGTATGCAAGCTGCAGCCAAAGAAATTGTGACAAAAAAGATTTCTTTAGGAAAGACTCTTGATGTAGTAGAAACTAAAAAGATGAAAATGAACAAAAATCAAACAAATTATGAAAAATTATCAATTTTCGTCTTTAAATGATAAATGTTTCCTTTTAGAACAATGAGTATTACCAAGTCCATCCTCTGCAGAAGTACCATGGGTGCTGAAAATGAACAACACTTGGCATCCAAATTTCAAATGACAAAAAAAGATGCAGTTTAATTGCATGACTTTTCAAACAGGCATTCATTACTTTGTCTGGTACTGAAAACTAATATTTTCATGACTCTATTTTCTAAATTTCTTTCAATAAATTGTTACCTAACAGCACTGCCAGTCCCTCTTAAAACAACTTGACTTGTCACCTCACTCTTACTGTTATGATAACAGATAACTAAACAAGAAAGAATAGGAGTTGAAGGAAAATCCTTCTGGATTATATTGTTTTCCAAATACTAGGTATTCTGTAAATGGAGAACTAAAATTATTTTTCTTTCTCTGAATTGCCTTGTGTTCCTCAAATTTTAAGAGAGCAGGTTACCGTTCAACTGCCTTTTCTCTATCTCCCTCCCTGAATAAATTTAATTTGAAGTCAAGCATATTTTGGGTGCAGTGCATTTTCAAGTAAATATGAACCTCTGTACTGAGTAAGTTAAAACAACAGGCAATGGACACTTTCACATAACATAAAATTTTTGCATATTACTTAATGTATCTAATTTGAAAGATCTCAGCGCTATTTTCAGCAAACAAACTGAATGATGCACAAAGAAAACAAGCAAATCATAACACACACCTCAGAAGATTCACCTGCTTTGACAAGACTGCAGGTTTATAACACTTGTGAAGGAAATGATTTAAGGGAAAAGTTATATCAGTCTAAATGATTTTTCAAGCAATGAAAACAATTTAAATGTTTAAATGGATAAACTGGTCCAACTAGAATTCTCAACAAATGTGAACTCATGCTATGAAACAAGCCTGTCATCCACATCCACTGCTTACCCCACAAGACTCTTCGGAACTGTCAATTGCATACTCGCAAAAATGTAGAATTTTACTTGTAGATGAAATGGCCTGTAGGAATCAATTCAAGATAAAACAACTCAAGTTGAGCTCAACAAAAGAGAAGTAAAATAGAAGGTAGAATAAAAAAAATTACAATTTTTAATGGAATAGAAATATGTTAATTACCGTCACCAAGGAATAGAACTGAGGAAGTACAAAAGTATAGTACAGAACAATTCATAATATTAAACTTAAGCATTTACAATCTTGATCATAAAAATCAAACATGAAAAGGAAGTACACTAATTTTATTTTGTTTAATAGAAACAACTACACAAACATGAAGGAACGCTCCCGAATAGTAAAGTTACAAAAACCAAATGAAAGCAATTCTCCTAATCAGAATTTTGTGTAAATCTCAATCATTTTTCAATTTACAAGTAAGAAGCTACTTCCATTCCTATTAAATTTTTCAACAATAAATTCCAATACAAATAGTTGAAAACAAAATTTTCCAATACAAATTTATTTATTTATTACAGGCAACAGCAAAAGCTGGTATACACATCTGACAACATCGTACACATTTGCATAGCCCAGTTCAACATTTAATTACAAAAAATATTACAGAACTTGACTCGTATCTCAAACGTACAACTTAATTTTCAAGAACCCTAAAATTTACTCTTATTATTTTCAAATAGTTTTATGTGATACAAATGGCCAAATGTAATTTATGATTCTAAAAGCCTAGCAAGATAATGTTTTATTAGTCATCACATCACATAAAACATCAACAGATAATTTTCTTCCAACACTGATTATTTGTAATATGTACTTATAGATGCAATTTAATCAAGTATTATTACTAAAACCAAAATGGACTAGAGCCCCCTCAAACATGAATACATTAAATTTACCCTGCAATTTGGGAGACAAAATACATAGACCTACATAATTTATTCTACCATTAAAAATTACATATTTCCATTTTGTCTATTCTCCCAAGATCTGCCTTGCCTAAATCACTGTATCATCTAGGAAAGTTAGAAAGGATATGTAGAATTAAAAAGTGTAAAATAGTCTACTCCACTGTGAATTTTATGTAAACATGCTATGGGAACATAAGCATTTAGTATTACCTTCAGAAGTTGTAACTGCTCCAATGTCAATTCTTTTACTGGTAATTGTAACTTGTCATTAATATCCAAATTTTGTTTTCGTTTCATAGCAATGCATACATGAAAGTCGTGATATAATACAGGCACCAAATCCTTAGAGAGCTGAACATCAAACTCAACTAAATCTGCCCCATGTAATGCAGCAGTTTTGAGTGATGCAATTGTGTTCTCTCGTACATCAGAACACCTAAAAATTGCAATTTATCCATATATTTTCAGAATGGAATATTTTACGATTATGGAATAAAAATACTGTGGTGAATGGAAATGGGAGAGCTTTAGAGCCAACTGTTGAGGTCACCAAGACTTTAAGAGTGATTATTGAATGAGGAAATACAGGAGGAGTAATGATGGAATGAGAGGTAAAGGAAAACTCGCAACAAGAACACTGTTTTGAGTTTTGAGTCACACAACTTTTGTAACACTGTTTTTTGTTTAGTAATCATCAAGAGAAAAGAGAATGAATAATCTAATTATAAGCTCTTTTAATAATATATTAAGTTATCCAAAAATTTTATGACCTCAAACTGTATGCCACAAACAAGAAAAATTACTTAACTAATAAAATATAAACAATTCTGAAAATTTAACTTTTTCTATGTTTCATTAATTGAGGTAAGTATTCAAAATAACATAACTTACAACTGAACTTCTAACTTGAATGATGTGCCCAGGCCACGATGACCAACATCTAAGCCCTGCCATGAAGGCTTCCACATACGTGAAAATGTCTCTTCCATACTACAACTAAAATTTTCAATAGGTTGCACCACAAGGTACTCAACTGCAAGCAGCAAAATCCATCTTTAGAAAAAGGTCATGGTTCAATTAATTTACACAACAACAAAATTTCCCCTGAATTTACTTCAATGCAAATAAAAAATCCTAAATTCAAATTTTCAAAAAAAAAATTGCTTCACTCTTGACATGTAATTTTAATAATTAATGTACATTCAAAAACATCCTTGTAAAACAAAGGTTTGAATAATATCTTCACCTACCAGTGAGCTGACCTATTGGTCTGTGATTTGTACTTGTAACTGGTACAATTGCTTGTCCTTCACTTTTCCTTAAAACACTGGGAAGTATGTAACTAAAGCCAATATGAGTTGGAGGATCTTCTTCAGTGAAATTATGAAGATAAAAATCAACAAGATATGCCTAAAACAAAAACCACAAAACACATCAGATTATTTCAAACTAAATCAAAAGCATTTACTGTACAGATGCCAGGCTGGGGTCTTATAATTCACTCACTGGAAATAAAATCACAGTGGTTCAATAATTTGAATTATGAAATCTATTTTTGCACTATTCTCTAGACTTTCTTTACAACTATCATCCCAAACAATTTTTTTTATTAAAGTGCCATACAAGACTTATGACGACGATAAAATATATGGAAAATAAATTATTAAACGTTTATAGCTCCTAAAATCACCTCTCCTACAAGCTCAACATTTATCATTACTGTTAAAAATACTGTAGCAAAATGATCTCACCCTTATGTTGCAGAGAAGAATTTCCATCCACTGACAGCAATAAACTTACTAACCACTGAATCATGTCAAGTTTGTTAAAAACAAGATATACCTTTTAACGAGTTTTACCACCCAAGTTTATAAGCTACAGTGTGTGGACAACAGTTGTAATAAACAAAACAAAACAGCAAGCCAGAGTGGACTACAGTACTGTTTATTACAAATTTTCCTCTCCAGTTCTCTTCTGTCTTGAAGTTCTCCACTCCACAACAACAATACCAAAAAATACAGTAACCTTAAAAGAGTATGATAATTTTTTGGAAGCAGGGAGCCAGAGAAAAATTGTAGTGCTGACAAATAATTACACTCTTTTCAGAAATCTCCAAGAAATTAAGTCATGTTCACAAGAATTAAGAACAAATCAACTTCAGTTTAAGGATTGTACTGTTAAATGAGTACTTGGATATGTAACAACAAATTCAAGAGTGCTCGTAAACTCTTGGTTACTGCATCCTTCCTCCCAAATCAGCAATAAACTGAAATTGGGAATATCTATAGGATGTGGAAGAACTGTCCACAAGCAGGTTTCTTCCACTCTCCAACCATCAGCCACCCAAGAGAAAAAGCTGCTCACTTACCATAGAATTTGGGTCTGAAAATTACAAATTAAAGGTCAAAGTTAGATTTCCAGGACCATAATTATATTAAGAATAAATGTGAATGGTAATTAAAGCTGTTTTTGTATTTTCGTAGCAACTATAATTTGCAAGATATATCCTTTTTTTAAGTTTGCAACAAAATACAAAATCAGCTTTAAATAAATTATACTGAAGCTTATTGTGAAATTAAGTCACATTTTTGCACTGACTATTACCTTAGAATACAAACTATATTTAATAGTAGATCAAACGGTATTTAGAAATCATAAATAGAGCATTTTCCTTCAGTCATCAAAAAACATGTACAGCTCAACACAATCAAAAAGCTACTGTACAATGGAAATGATATTTAATGTGGATCTCTTATCCTATCACCTGACTGAAGCTCTACTCTAATAATGGAATTAATTACACACATACCAATTATCTTTTATTTTATCACAAATAATACGTTCACTTAAGCTGAAAGCATGTAAATAAACATTTTGTAAATTATATTTTAACACTAGACTACTTTTTCTTTAGCTTAACTGTACCCGTTGCATTCACGAAACTACAAACATTAAATTTCTACATCTACAAGCTTGACATAAAACAATGATAAAGCAATGACCATCTTAGCAAAAAAGATCTCCCCCATATAATAATACAGTTAGTTCAGTGAGATGTGTTAAGCTTATGGGCATATGTACATGCAAATATTACAACATTTAAAGAAGAAAAATTTGTATCAAAGTAGAGCAATTCGTATTTTAATATGCATAATAAACATTTGTATTTTTTCAACTGCATATTGAGAGAATATATGTATAGCAGTAGAATACCAAATACTAAGATGCAAGAAAACGAAAAGAGGACTTCTAATAGACTTCAGTGTTGTTACTCAAATGGTTTAAGACAAATTTCCCCAAAAATAAGACTAATAAGTTCAAACAATTTTCTCGGGTGATATTTCTTTTTACAAATTGAAAACCGTAGACATTTATGTTGAAATAACTTTCTACCATTTTGAAATTCAAAAATAAAATATACAAGAGATAAAAATACAGAAAAACAGAAGGTAAGTTATGTATTATATTAAATTAAATATTTATGACTTTGCAAAGTTTCTCGCCAACTAAAGTTTTTGAACCTTGTGATCTGTGCAAGACAAATATTACTAAGTATAGGGGTCCAATATCACCATTTTGATTTAGATTCTATTGACTCGTGGAGTACATGTAAAGCCTGTTTTAAATTTTATCCCTAGTAAATGCAGATTTTATCCTCCCTGGAGTGTGTGATTTGTGTGTATTACATGTATGTGTTGTATATGTTGTTATACATGTTTATGTTTGTGCCCCAGCATCATCACCTCAATTTTGATAGTAAATGAGAAACGAGCATTTAAAATCTAAAAGATTGGCCAAATTAACATTGTTCTTGAACAGATTACAAGAACATGTTCAAAACTGTTTGTTGCATAACCTTACCGTCTCCTAAAGAAAGTTTTAAATAAAAAGTTTAAACTAGTTTTAAAATAAATTAATTAATTTCAGATTTTTTTAACGAAGGACAATCAGACCACTACTCTTATAAACACCTTTTTAAAATTTTTAATAACATAATTCTTATTTCATTTTCTTACAAACACGTCTTCAAAATCTTTATGAACATGAGTGAACCGATTGTCTTTAAAATGAAAAAATCTATATCAATTAACTTTGCGACAAATTATTTATACCAAAAAAAAGTTTTTAAGAGTAAAAAATTAAATGCTTCAAAACAATCCTCGTGTAATCTTTCAGTAAAATGTCTCCATGATAAACTAGACCAAAGGCTACAGAACTAAATCAGATTAAGGAGGTGCCTTGACCAATATTATTCTCCATCTGCTTTAATTCTGGGAAAGTTCAGAATATTCATTTAACAGCAGGCTAACATTCAGGAACAAAATATGCAAACAAGAACGAGTCCCAAATTCTTGGAAATAATATTAATATTGCACATTAAGCTACAGACAAATTAACCCATTAGATACAAAGATGTACATTCTTTTTAATTTCATTTTACATATCCACAACCTTACTGAAAGAATACATTTGCATTCACTTACATGCATATTCAATCAATTGTTCACATTTACGGCATTCACCTTTCAACACAGAATAATTTATTTAAAAGCAACATCATTTAATAAGCATGCAACAAGAATATGCACCCAACACACAATAATTAACCCAATAGCAACATAAAAATAATGGTATGAAAGGCAATAAGATCTTTGATACAAAACCTATAAATATCAAAAGGCACACTCTGCATAAATATACTTAGAAGCATTATATTGGAACTACAGTAGTTACACTACCAGTAATTTCTTAGTTGATGTTACTTTTCAGCCATACAGTGGCCATCTTCAGGACTGTACAGAAAGATTTCCACCAGAAACGACTAATACCAGCAAATAAATTTTAAAGATGGACAGTGTGCAAGAAATGAAAGAGCATGATGATTATGTCAGGTATGTTCTACTGAATGGAAACTTTCAAACCCAATGAGGAGCATCAATTCCGCTACAAGCATAACTACCTCCCCAAATGTGTAAAATTAATATGAGCCTATCTTATACTAGAATACTCAACAAAATATTAACACTCCCAGTTCATGCACTGCAGTAGCAATGCAAGAACAATACAGATAATTATGAAAATTATTTGTAGATAATTATTTTGAAGTTGACAGAAGATCTTCACTTCCTTCACCATGGAATTCATATTCTTAAAACACACATAAAAGAGATTTTATTACACGATACTCCAAACCATCATTTTGAATATGAGCACTTTTGAAGGGAATGTACCATATAACAAAAATTAACTATTCATTTGATTATGAACAATAATCATATACAAATATACTTACTTAAATTATGAACCATAAAACATACAAAATTTTCTAATTCAACATCAAGAAGTGATCTGTCAGTCATACATGACCAAGTTTAATGAGCTGGTAGTAAATAACAAAGAAAGCAATTCAAGTTCAAAGGATTTTCATAACATTATTGAAAAGTCTTTATGAACCTTCCCATAGTTTCTGGTGAATTTATATTACTACTTTTTATAACTTCATTTTGTACATTCTACATGCCTATAAGTCCCATTGAGAGAACAGACATGTAGCAGCCAAAGATTTTCAAATTCAGAAATATTAATTTACACTTACAAATAGTAATGAGATAATACAAACTATCTGGTAGTGAACCTTAAGAGTTAGGTTTCAATTCTAAAGTCTAATTCAGGTATATTTAAAAACCATTACATCTATCTTACCCATCGTAGATGTCCAGGGGATTTTTCCTCACCTTTGCACTAAAACATGCACAAGCTAATTAGTTTGCAATTGCCCCCCAAATGACAAATATTAAAATTACTAACCATTGATTCCAACTGTAGTACACATATTTGAAACAGTACAAATTCTCCTTCACTGTAAATATGGCCAAATTGCTCTTGCAAGTGGAATTTTCGTTTCTCTTCATTCATCACCTACAATTAAGAAATACACTTTAAATATTAAGTTATGATTAATTAGGACTTTCTTTTGGTATTACCCAAAAACACTCAATGCAAAACTTACAGCAATCTCTGTCAAAGGCCATACTTCTGGAGCATCTACTTGATCATGAGTGTCCATACTTTCATCAATATTTTCAGAAAATGGCAGTACTGTTTCGGATGATCTATTTCGTGCCAAATTGACAGGAGTAAGTTTGAAACTTATCTGAAGCAGTAAAATATGTAAATACATTGAGTACCAAAACTACAATGTTTAAAAAACAAACTTTATTTTCCCCCCACAAATGTGTCTTGAAACACTTCAACTGGAAAAATAACTTGGAAGCAAACAATTTGGCAATAAGTAATTGCTTTTAGTTTAAAAATCATATGTAGGTACATCACCAAATAGAAATATCACATCAAACACCATTTCCACTTTTTCATTAACATAGATGAAGTTTCATTATTTGTGCAACCATGAGAAGAAGGTGTAATACAAAGATTAAAAATGGAGAAAATTGGATTCTTACACTTAGAAACAGAAAATCAATAGAGGTCTTCTAGTTAACATTTCAAAAGAATATTTTCCTAATATAGTTTATTTATATAATAAAATGTTTACCCATCTCATCTTCATAGGTTCTCATAACTATGCAGACATGCCGGTAAATTAATTTCCTGCTTCATTCACAAGAAAGTTGTGATTCTCATTTTTGTAGTAGCCCCCATAACATTTAATGCAAGAATGCTTGATCACAAATATTACTCAAAGCACAAAGCAATATCAAAATTAATTCCATGAGAGATTATGTTTTAAACATTCATACATATACGCACGCAATGATATAGTTTAAATAACTTTTTTATATTTTATTTAATATAGTTTAAATAAACAATTTTCAATACTGACAAAAGAGAATTTTCAGAACTTCTAACTTTCTTAACAAACCAACACATTACCTTCCATGTATTTTGAAAATACTTCTATGAGGCAACATTTCCCTTGGTGCTACATGCTTTAAATATTTAATTAGTTTCCCCTCACCTTTTTTCCTTCATAACGCTTCTTCCATAATTGTAAAGGATTATTGAACAATTTTAACTGGATTACTGTCTCAGATGTGAGCCATCCTCTTTCTATTGAAGTAATACTTTGCACGGAACCAAAAATATCTGGTTTACCCATTTCCTCTTCACCTATATTGGCATCTTCTGCTAATACAGAAGAATGGAATATTACAAGTGACTTAATAGCTGGGGAAATAAATTTTTAATCTGATATGCACAAAAAATACCAACCATCAATTCTAATATTTCGAGGTTGTATGGAGGTTTCCCAACGGCGAACAATTATTTGCTTCGCACCATCATTAGCAATTTCAGGCTCTATATACACTCCAACAAAATAACGAAATTCTACATCCTGGTTTTGTGGAAGTTTCACACAACAAGACCACAAACAGCTGAAAAATAAGTCAAAATATTATTTTACTGCAAAGCAAACTAATTTTTTTATATATATATAACAGCTTCATTATTACCTTTCTGGATCATCATCTTTTGACAATCGCACAGCGCTGCTACTCATCCAATTCCCCAATTCTTCGCAATTTCCTACTACGAATACAGATTCGCCGGGAATCGTTTCAGCCTTCACTCTGAATATCTGATCTCTTCTAAGGTATTTCATTGTGGGTTTTATACATTTACGGCGAGTGTCAGGAGATTTATTTGCAGTTTCTGTCATTTCACAGAATAATTTTCCCTTTTACTGCTCGTAATCAGCAAAGCATTATGACACTGAGATACTGAAATATAAAGAGAGAAATAATACCAAATAAAACTACCACTCTACGATATGTTAATTTTCACATACACCATAAACAAAATGTTATTTCAAGAACAACAAAAATTTCGTCGTACTACTAGTTACCGATCCAGTACCAACACACATCAACTCCGCAAGTTCAAGACGCCGACTGACAACCAGCTGGACACCGTAACAAACACTAACAAGAGTGACCCGATTCGATAAGCATATGTCTGTATGTGTAGTATTATTATCTTACACTTTCCTAAGTACTTATTTCATGACGCAGATTACTGTAATAAAACATTAACACTCTTAATCTGCCCCTGATGTTTCTAGCCTCTCTAGCAGTCTGTTGAGTGCTGTAGGTTCTGACCCTGCTTGGCCACGGCTCAACTTCACGACCTCGCACACACGCCTCACCACGCCACACTTCGCAACTTTTTTTCTGCTTCTCCAAGAAAAGCAGTTTGAGTCAGGACACACTGTAACATCTAAGCTACTCGAGTGGGAGACACTGCAACCAATAGTGAGACGGCATAGAACGTTTCCTTGACGATGTGCTACATTCACAATATTCCATTGGTCACATTCATTCTCAATAGCGAATTGTTCTTGCTAATATTTGTTTCAGAAGCGACTATAGCTATAACATAAAAAAATCTCGTTTCAACATCTTGAAACGTAGTTCCCCCAGAGGAAGTAGGCAACTGGCCAGAAAATGTACGTAGACGCGCACGAGGAAAAAAGGTGAAAACGATAGAATATCATCAGGCATCAGGCATAAATAATCAAGAACAAAAAATGACGTTCGTGATAAAAGATAAAATTGAGGCAGATTTAGTTTCACAGTGATGCACAAGATATTTTTTTTGTTAAGCGAAATGTGTCATTGGGATTAGTATATTTGAAGGAAATGCCATTATTGAAAGATGTAATACGCTGATAACTAGGCCCTACTTGCCTAATTGTATTTTTTTGAATGAAACTTCAGGCAACTTGCCCATTATCCACACAAGAAATGGCGAGGGTTTTATAGTGCCTATAAATGCACATTTTAATTGCCTACTCTAGCTTTATTAAGTCTCGATGTGCCTATATTGAATTTTCCGCTTTTTAAAATTTTTGTAAGTACATACTATTGTACTTTATTATTATTATTATTATTATTATTATTATTATTATTATTATTATTATAAAACTATAATTTTTAACTATATATTATATACTATAATTGTTTTGAAAAATCACTTTTGATTCTTGCATTTGAGCTGGGCACATCGTGCAGAAGACCGTCAGGGCACTCCACAGAACGGGAATTTGCAGTCTTTCCGATCTTCGCAATTATTTCTGAGCTATCTGTTCGTTAGCATGAACACAACTGTCTTCAAGATTAGCGCTCCCGGCGTCTTTTGCTTTTAGAATATAGAATTATTCAAGATGGGCGGTTTCTTCGATAATGTAACTTCAAACTAACTTCTCCACATAGCACGTCACAAACAGTTTTTAACTGTTTTTGACGTAAATAAATAATAATTTTGAATTAATTTCGAAAATTGGTACATGCCAGTTCAGAAAATTTGCTGTTCCTATTTTCTCTTCAATACCAAAAGATAAAATATCAAAAAATGTATTGCTAAATGGGTGGATTCATGGAATACAAGGTTTCTCGACGGACAGAAATGTAATTCTTTACCAGTGGTGAAAAAGTGGTACAGAATGCCCCAAAACTCGTTTCTTACAATATAAAAACACTGCAACTCTTGGAAAAATGCGAGAAAAGTGAAAAAAATCATCGCTTTCTTCAGCAAGTGCTAGCCAGAAAATGGACGAAAGACAAGAAAGTATTGAATACTGACTTGTACCATGCGCTGATTTGCGCAAACATTCCATTTTCAAAACTTAAAAATCCAATTTTTAACCAGTTTTTGACAAAATATAAAAATCCACACGAGTAAACTCTTAGAAAAAAATCATCTAACTCCGCAATATGTGTAGGATATCGAGGAAATCCGAAACGATATTGGCATAAGCCAATGCAGACAGATGCAGCAGCGTATATGTTGAAATTTGCCCGAAGTTTAATTTTTTTTCCCCAACACACTACTTGCGCATCTCATGTCCTTCATTGTGTTGTGAAAGAAGTTCGTTGGCATTTCTACAAATTAAACATTTAGATTTGTGCAGGGAAAAGAGCATTTCTCAAAGCTAGGAGCAAAGTGGCGGCGCTCAAGACTGCTTTACCCACTACCCCCCCTACCACCGCAACTAGTATTGACCAGATAGGATTCTTGGCATCAAGCCGCCACTTATTACGCTGGTAAGTACAAAGAAGTATCGACGATTTTAGAAGATTTCAACGACGACGAACCAGACCTAGCTTCCTCAGGAAGTGTTGTTGTCTCCTAATATCAAGACTGAGCATGCTACTAAAGGCAAATTTTGGACATCTACCCGAAGCCATCATGAAATTCAAGTCAAGAGGTAAAGCTGTTGGCTTAAAATTTACCAAGGTGTTACATCTTTCGGACAAACCCGAAGAATTTTGGTATTGTGGGGAGTTTTCGTTGGCATTTACAATGAAATAATTATATGAGTCGTCATTGCTAACAATACTGTTTATTACAATAGCAGCTTTCAATGACTTAGCCATCATCATCAACTGATGATGGTGGCTGAGCCATCGAAAGCTGCTATTGTAGTAAACAATGTTGGCAATGACGACTCATAATTATTTCAAACCAGAAGGAATTGATCTCTCCAGCTTCAATGAAACATGTCCCTGTAACTTTGTGCAAGGTAGACATAACATTTTTCCATCACAAAGTTATTTTGAATTAAGGAAGAACATCTTCCACTATTAAAAATTCTACTGATAACTAAGTAGTGATAATTAAAATGTAATATTACGTCTTTCTAATATGTGCTAGTATAATTTAAATAATGATCTTACACTGTTTCTGAGGAAATGTTTCATCACACAATTGGCAAAGTTGAAATCATTATTAACAAACTTTTTCTTGATTCGTCTTCTTTACCCGTGCATCGGCAGGACCGGATAAATGACTTAGGACAAACTAGCATAAGGCGAGCGCAGTCTAAAACTAGAGGGGAACTTAATTGATTGATGCTTCCGGGTGCGTTAACTGCTAAGGTCATTAGTCCCGTAAATGTAGTGCGGGAGGCGTGGGTGATCTTTCCCCGCTTGGTTGGCAATATCCGGCACCGACCTACCCGTCAGCTTGCGGCGTTGTCCTCAACCAGGAATCTCCCACCGTCGAAGTCGAGACAAATTCTCATTTTCCAACTGGTCTTCCGACAAGTACGGTAGTGCACTAAGTAAGGGACGAGTAAAGAACAAGGATAGGTCGCGCGCGATCCGTGGCCCGTTAGAATAGAGCACCGGTATGCGTCTGGTGATGGATCGGTGCAGCCAGCCGCTAGAATTCTTCTCCAGACACCAGCTGAGGTCGACCTGGCTAGTGTCGAAAATTCTGCTACCGTCTGTACTCGAACCCTAGGACCTCCCAGTCACAGGCATCTCAGTGATATCAATTGATGCCCTGAGACATCTCAGCCGGTATATTTCACTAGGAAATAAATAAAACACTACAGGAATAACATTAACGATACAATTAACACATTTTGTTCACTGTATTTTAAACCATTTACAGGATTCCCAGGTTCGAAGAGCCTCTTCCCCAAGTGTCGGGTATCAATTCTCCAAATTGTCTGCTTTAAGAGAGGAAGATCAGGAATTTTTCATTATTACACGAAAACGCTTTTTTACCTAGGGCTAAAAATCCCCTTTTGAAATGCCCCTTTTCGCACGCATAGGAGCCCTCGGCACAATTAAATCTTGGTGGTCCCTAATTACATGAAAGTATTGAACGTTTAACGCAAATGTGATCTAAACAAATACGAAAAGAAACTAATGTAAACATCAGTAATCAGCAAAACTAGTGATGCTACAAAATGGCACAGACGTTTTCGCACTAGCCTAGTTAGTTGGGGCTAGGTTTCCTGTTTTCTCCCACCCCTTTCCAACTGCCACCATCTACCAGGTCCTCTCGCGAGTTACCTTCCTGGGGCCTTCTGGTCACCTATGGGCAATTTTCAGTTAACACGTCCCTTTTGCTTCATTACGTCGAGGTAGCCCTTCGCGGTGCATAGTACCACTGTTCTATAATAATAATAATAATAATAATAATAATAATAATAATAATAATATAATATATAATGTCTTTTATGGCGAGCCTCAGCGTCATAGGGCCTGCTTCTTCACGCCTAACCACTGGAATATTGTAACGTATTAGCCAGCGCTCGCCTCATGGCATCTTCATTTGGGGACGCTTGGTTGCGGATTAGTCTCGCGCACAGGAAGTAAGGGTTTTCCCGTAAAGGGAAGAACGCGGAGACGGGAGACAACAGGCTTTGTTGGTGTCTTCGCCGTACGGCTATAGAAGCTTTTTCACTGTTATAACAAGCGAGGGGGTGGCGCTACGTAGGAGGTCACGTGGGCCTCGCCTATCATAACAGAGTGTACGGAGCATAGGGCAGGTTTCTGGAGACGGTGGGAGAACCTCGTGGTGTGCACAAAACTTGGCGGCCACCGACGCGTGCCATATTGCGAGCGCAGGCTCGCGAGGGCTGGAGTCATGTTGACGAAGCCTGCCGGACTTTGTCCTTGGGTGACTGCCGGTCCACGGGGGGAGCGATGCTGTGGGCCGTGCTCCGAGGTGAAGAGTGGGTTGAGGCCACGATTACGCCGATTCTCAATCGGATAGAATCGCTCGCTGTCGGATCGAGGCAAACCAGCTCGTTGGTGCGCCAGAACGGACTTTTGTTTGTCCCCATCGTGACATCTAGCGGTCACGGAAGCTAGCTTGTGCGCGCTCAAAAAGTAGGAGTGGCGAATGCCACAATCAAAAAACATCTTCAATCGGGTTTGATCGCTCCGCGATCAGGTGATAGTAGCGGTCTATCAGAGGCTAGGGTTTAAGTAGTATTATTAAGTGTATATAATTTGTTTTGTTGTTTCTGTAATAATATATTTGTTATACGAAAGCTCTGTGTTCTGGTCTGTGGTCGGCTGTGAGTATCCCTGACGTCAAAATAACATACATTTAGTAGTTAGTAACAGTTATTAAGGAGGGCGAGGGACAGTTGTACATGTTATGTTGGGAAAACAAACCTAGGGACCATCCCGGATAACGCCTTAAGCGATTGAGTAAACCCAGGAAAAACCTCAATCAAGATGGCGGCCTTAGGGCCGTAACATTAATAGGAACTGAGCTAATGTTACTACCGAGTAGTGAAAGGAAGTTTCGTGAAAGAGAAAAAAAGACGTACAGGGGAAGGGGTCACTGTTCTGAGAGTAGGGACCATTTCCTCAATAACACACTTTCAGCGGATTACACCCATCTCCCATCTATTGGCTGAAGCCAACAGTTTATGGAAGGATTACCAATATTGATGTGATACACGAGATGTGGACGGGCAAATGTGGCTCAAGGGCACTGCAGTGCTGTGACCGAGAGGCCCTATGGTTCGAGTCCCAACGATGGGCAGATTTCGTCCTCTAAGCTAGACAGCTACGTCAAATTCGCCGCTCTTCTGGAGGAGAATTCTAGAGGAAAAACTTGTAAATTCCGAAATTTGAAGCACTTTTTCACAGACAATTCTTTGAGTTTTTCGAAAAAAATTCATTTGGAAATAATTTTAAGTACTTTAACTCACAAATACAATAGGTTTTAACAAATTTGCTGGAAATGTTGCATATGCAACAGCGTGGAAAGATCTTTCAATAATTTACAATTTGTGAGATTTTTGAAAAAGCAAAACAAATACACGAAATCAAGTTTACGTCCATATTAAAGAGAGCTAACTGCCACTATCCATTCGAAATGTTCGAAGAAAAAAAATTCGATCTGTTTCTGCAGAAAAGCGATTTAATACGATACACGTGGCAGAAATGGCAAGAGTTAGCTCATCGTGCCGAAACAACACTTCTACGCAAGCCCCCTGTTGATGAAGCGGGGGATAAAAAGCGCATTACTTTTACAATGCTTGAAGAATATGATAACGTTTTCAATGAATAATCTGTTCAGTTACAATTTCAAAGGAACCTTTGTTCCGTTGTTGCGGGGTT